TATGATATGCCAAAATACTTAGTTAGAAGGTCTAAAAGCAAAAGAGAAATGGGTAGAATTTTTTCGTAATAAGGATATATCCCCATGCTTTGAAAAAATATGCATGTCTTCTCCTTACCTCATTCTAATGCCTCATCCGAGCCTATTTTTAGCCTGATGAGGATTGCCTGGAAAAAGAGAGTAATCGGATTGCTTTAACAACATTAGAGGCCGAGCTAATGGTTAAACAAATATATAATATGTCATGCCAGGAATTTTATAAATATCTCTATATCGACTGTAAACATTTAGTTCTATTATTTAAAAATCTCAAATAAAATATAATTAAGTTATAGCAATGGCGCCATAAAATTCAATTATTAACTGTAAAGATGAACACATCTGCAGCATAATTTTGTGAATCTTTGTTAAGATTCTTCCGATTGAAACTACACATTAATAGCATGTTGTAGATTTCCTACATGGGAAATCATTCCTAAATATACCTCTACCAATTATTGAAAAAAATTTTCAAAATGTTAGGACAGCTTTTATAATCTTTATTTAAATATTTTTTAACGGTTTATATAATTTTAAAATTCTACGATGGCGGGTATTAGGAACATATCGCACCAACATTGTGCTGACTCAATTCTGTAAATACACTCTGTTTTTACCAAATTCACTGAGGCATTATCAAAAAAGTTGACTTGCAATTTATTGATAATCTCGAATCTGCTATATTTACCATTATATGGTTAGCTATGTCTTTGGATTTTTCACTATTTGAGGGGAAAAAATTTAATAGTTTGATTGAAACGACCTTAATTTTGTTGTAATAGCGGAGGATGGAAATATTTTATTATTTCCCTTATTAGATGCATCTCTTAGAATTGCATATGTATTCTCATCTTTCAAATCTTCAAGAATTGACCTCCTTTATTTAGGTCCTAAAACATTGATGATAGCTTTGCTCATTTTTGTTCTACAGGTATAGTTTTCATTTATATTAGAGTTGTTAAATATTCTGGGAAAAAGATTCTACCAACATTGTGATGATAAGTATCTCTGTGAAGGTTGTACTACAAGATACAATGTTGTGATGATTTAATGAAACATATAGACGAATAAATTAAAACCCATCCACATAAAATTATAATCTTTGCAAAAATAATTAAAATATAGACAATATTGAAATTTTTTTTATTTATTCCTTTTGTTATTTTAATTATTTTTGCAAAGATTATAATTTTATATGGATGGGTTTTAATTTAATCGTCAATATGTTTCATTAAATCATCACAACACTGTAAGTGAGTACAATTGCCGCAATTGTAGTTACATCTGTAATATTTCTTATTTTTGGAGTACGTTATTATGCATTTAAACGTGATAAGTGATAATTTAGCGCCTATCCCTATAATGTTATAAACACACACGGTAGATTTTGAATTGCGTTAGTTTTGCGGAACATTCACAAATAATATACTTTTAATTGTAAAATTAAAATCGTTTTTTTTATAAAATTTTATTGTTTGCATTCTTTTATATTTAAAAAAGATCGTTGGTTTTTTTTATAAATTAATATATTTTAATAAATCAAGATGTAATTTTATTTTGAAAAATAGATACCGACTTTGTATTTATATAAACTAATTATAAAAAATAATAGGCTGATAGGACCGCAAAAATTTTTTTTTTGCAATTTTTATATTTATACCCCAATTTTCATATTTCTCCTGCATAATACCAAATTTCTCCCGCAATTTGAAAATTTTGACCTGGCAACCCTGATCATACAACATAAAAATTAATCGCCGATTTTTAACAAAATCTAATATATTTCTTCTTAATTTTATTTTTTTTATCAATTATTTTTTATATAATAAATAAATATATTATAATACAACAATCTGAGTTCTTCGTTGGTTAATAACAAGCCTAGATTAGAACTAGGTACAGTTTCTAACTACGGCTTTGTAGTGTAAGTAATCGACGCAATGCTGTATCAATGGAAAATTCTAGTCTCTTTGTTTTAGTGAATCTATATATGGGCGATTTGGGGCATTTTTGCTCCAGAGGTCTAGTGCTGTCATACAATATAGGTCGATATCCAAGTCTCCAAGTGCAAAATTTAGCAACTGAGGATAAAAAGATAATAATTTGTTTAACTTAATTATTATATTATATTAATTTTAAAAAGATAAAGTAAAAATTTTTATAAAACTTAATTTTAAATATTTTTTTAATAATATATATTTGTTTCTAGAACCAAAATTCATTAGTGGCATTAATTTTTAAAAAATATTAACCTATATTTATTTTAAAATATTCTAGGTTTGTTTAAAAATATAAACCTAGATTTATTTAAAAATATAAAAAAGGTTTATATAAAATTTAAATATGTAATAAAATAAACACCAACTTGTTTAGAGGAAAAAATGATGAAGGATCAAACTTAGAATGATATGAAGAAAAGGTTTTGCTAGGAGAAGAATTGCTGAGAGAGTGTTTGAAATATTTTATAGCCTAGGCTTATTTTAAAATATAATATTTAATAATACAAATCAGGGGCGTCGCTAGCCTTTACAATCTCAGGGGGTTCAGCTAAAATTTGCGGATTTTCTCATTTATTATATTATGTACACAATAAACTGGCATATAAATAATTAAAACAATATAAGACATTTCTAAATATAAAATTTTTTTAATACAAAATCTATTTATTACATTATAAAATATTTTCGATTGCTGATATAAAAAAATTAGCGTCTAAAGAATTACAAGTGATAAAAAAGATTAATTAATTCATACATATGACTCAATTTATAATAGTTTTTAAAAACCACATAATGTAATAATATAATTCTTAGCAACTTACATTGACAAAAAGTTATCAAACTAATATAACTCTGTTACCATTTTACACATTTATAGAATGGACTAATAAGGAAAAATTTATAGGCAATCTGCAATTCTTGAAGAAGAGAGTATAAACGACCAATCCAAATCATAAAACTATTAAGTGGTTAGAGCTTCCTTTTAGATGCCATGATAGTAGCTAGATAAGTAATTTAGAAAATTATTGTGAGATATCAAATTTCTAAAAGATTATCATCCATTTTAAAGGATATATAATATATAAACGACTACACAGTTGACCATTATTTTTAATCTAAAATATGCAATCATATGCTCACAGCCGTTGTAGTAATAATCTTAAATTACATAGCAACACAAATAATAGATGCTGTTTAATTTGCAGTAATAGCCATGACACTCACGATGTAAACTAGTATCAGAATTTATTATGTTGGATAAATTGATAAAATAAAAACACTAAAAATCGGAAGAAATAATTGTACAAATATATTGAAGCCTTGAGTTATTTACATGGCAAGGATACCCTATTAGAAATGAAACATTTTGGAACTATAAAATAAGGACCAGAGTGATATGATAAAACAATTAAGATTTTATGTCGCATTACCTCTAGTTCGTATATATATCTTAAAAAATATACTTGTATTAAAAATTTAACTAAAACTGTTTTTTGAAAAAGAAAAAAATAGCTTTCCTAACGTAAAAAAGAAAAGATATCAAATTTATTACATATATTATAGGATGAATAATAAAATGTTTAATTTTTAAATTATTTATAACTAAATAGATGGCGTTAAATACTTAAAAGCAAATTGTTCTTATATTTATTATTAAAAGCATTTATTAGTAAAATTCATTATAATATTAGCTGTAATATATTATAACTGTCAAATACGTCTATAAAAGTGACATTTTATTTAATATCTGTATATAATAAAGGATTATAAACTATATATCTACTTATTTACTTTTTATTATACTTATTTGGGCCTTGAAAATATTTTTACAATTGATTAATCATTTTGAATTCTGCTAATTACAATATTAAATTTGTAACTTTTCAATTAATAAATGATTATATTTATTTAATTAGGGTTATAAAATAATTTAAATAATAATTGTCAATGAAGCTTCAACTGTTAATACTAAATTAATATTTAGTGAGTGATATTGATATTCTATTTTTAACACAAAATTTGATTGCTAGCTGACATATTGAAAATATAATTTATATGTATTAATTTAATCTAATATTTAAAATAGTATTCATTTAATAAATATTTAGATGGTCTTATTAATTTTAAATAATAAAATTAAATCTATATTTTACTTAATAGAATTATAAAAGAAATCTTTCAGGGGACAACCAAAAAAATTTATTTTTAGTTCAAGGGGCTAAGATTCCATTAAAAAAATTTTTGCTTCAGCGGGCTTTTTCAATTTTCCAGGGGACTCGAGCTTCTGGCCCCCCCCTTAGCGACGCCACTGATACAAATACTAACTTGTTTAATGAAAAATGCCAAAGTGTTGAAGTTAAAATGATATGAATAAAAAGCTGTGCTAGTGGAAGAATTATTGATTGAAATATCAGTGTACATTTAAAAGGCTAGATTTTATTGAAATATCTTGTAGATTTAAATCTGTAAAAGTGAAGTTATAATATAAAATATTTTACATTTTTTATCAATATAAAAACAATAGATACTTTTTTTGGTATTGGTCAAAGGAATAGGAAACAAATGAGAGTAAAATATTAGGGAATCACTATAAGATATCCATAAATGTTATTAAAATATAAATAAAACCTATCTGATGGATTTAATGATAGATTATTTGGTAAAAACACATTTGCTTCTATCACTTTGTTATAATATCCTCTCTTAAAAATACGTATTTATAAAATATACAATAAGACATCTATGAGATAAATACTCTTTTGTTTAAAATTCTTTTGCCTTTTTTCAATTTTTATTTGATAAATACGTCGCGATGACATAATAGTGAGGGTATGACATAGTGAGGATATCGGAAAATTATAATATAGTTAAAATTTATTTTGAATTTAAGTTATTTACCAACCCGACAGGATTTATCAGATTTAGCATTATTCATAATTTAATAAATTCACGAATCCATTTACAAATTTACACTTTCAGGTTTTGAAATGCCTAGAAAAAATCGTGGTATAGCCAAGCAAAAGTTTTTTGAAGATTTGGAAGCTGCCGAAGAGGAGAATAAAATTAATTCTAAGTTAGAAAAACTTGCTTTGAAAAATAAAGATTTGGAATTTGATCATAACCATTCAGATAAACCAATTAAAAATACTTTCTCAAAGTTTAATACTTTTTCAGATGAAGAAAACCATAAGGAAGAAGATTTTGAAAAAAATAAAGTTGATGAAAATTTGGTTGACTTGCTAAAAAAATTAAAAAATAAAAATCTTGTAAAACATGAAGAAATTAAGGATTTGGATCAATATACAAAAAAAAATAAAGTCGATAAATATTCAAATGAGGTTAAAAAAATAAATAGATCAAAAGACAGAATTAATATAAAAAATCAAGAAATTGAGGATTTGGATCAGAATAGTAAAAAAAAAGTTGATAAATATTCAAATGAGGTTGAAGAAATACAGAAATCAAAAGATAAAAAGGCAAAAAATGAAAATTTTATCAAACATGATGATAATGATTTAGACCAATATAATTATTCTGGTGAAAATATTTTTATTATCAAATATTTGTTAAAACATTTATTCTTAAAATGATATATTTAATAATAGATGAAAAAGAACTTATTGAAGGTCAAATTGATTACCAGGATGAGTGTGAAGATATAAATTTGAATGTTGAAAAGACAAAGCCTTTATCTAATAAAGAAAAAAAGAAATTAAAAAAGAAGGTAATTTATATATTAATTATACCTATTTAAAACTGAATTAATTGTTATTTAAATATAATATAAATAATTCATTTTAAAATTTTTATTTAGTAATTTCTTGTTTAGTTTAAAAATTTCAATTGGGCTATTAGACTAAAAAAGACAATCTTAGCCCAAAAATCAAGTATCATTCATAAAATCTCATTAATTTATATTAAATGGTATATTATTATTTATAAAGAGTTTTAATGTAGATAAAAGAAGATTTAACAATTTAGGCATTAAAAAAAATCTATTTTACTAACTATACCTATTTAATTTTAAGGATTAATAAAAGATATTTCTATATGTGTATATTACTTTAATAATAAAATCATAAAACCAAAATCATCATCATTATTGGTTATTTTTCCACAAGATATATTTCTGTATTTAATGGTTGTGCTGGGTTTGGAAATCTTAGTAAAAAATTGTGTGATTGGACTGGGCTAGGTACAAATTTGGATGTGCCGGGCAAAAACTAAATCACAACAAGGCCAGGCTGGGCTTGAGAATTTTGCTACCTATATACCTCTACTAATGGCTAGCCCTATTCAAAAACATAAATCAAATACTGAATTAAATATTTGATTTTCTTACAAATTGAATAATTTATATTAGTATTCAGGGGGCAAAAATACGCGTCCCCAGAAACTATGCGTCCCTGGTCAAACGGGTTATATAATATTAATATAGCTTTATAAGATGAGTAAAAAATGTTTTTTATGATTTAAAAAAAAATGATAAATTAGTAAAATTTTTAAAAAATTATTTTTTTAAATGAAAAACTACGCGTCCCTGGTCAAGATATATTTTTTTTAAAAAAAATAAAAGCAGATTCATATTTAGCTCATTAAATGGATACAGAAAATGTTTTTTTTTATTTAAAAAAAAAGTGGTAACTTATTAAAATTTTTAAAATACTAATTTTTTACATGAAAAAACTACGCGTCCCCGGTCAAGATACAATTTTTTAAAAAAATAAAAGCAGATTCATATTTATCTCATTAAATGGATACAGAAAATGTTTTTTTTGATTAAAAAACAAGTGGTAACTTAGTAAAATTTTGAAAAAACACTTTTTTTCTTCATTTTTTGACTAAAATACGCGTCCCCGGTCAAGATAGATTATTTTTATAAAAATGAATATAGAATCGTGTATAGTTTTTCAAGGAGATTCCGAAAATGTATTAATTATTTATTTTTTTAAATTTTCGAAAAATTTTTTTTTTTGACTAAACTACGCGTCCCGGTCAAGATACATTTTTTTTTAAAAAATAAAAGCAGATTCATATTTAGCTCATTAAATGGATACAGAAAATGTTTTTTTTATTTAAAAAAAAGTGGTAACTTAGTAAAATTTTTAAAATACAAATTTTTACATGAAAAAACTACTCGTCCCCGGTCATGATACAATTTTTTTTAAAAATAAAAGCAGATTCATATTTAGCTCATTAAATGGATAGAGATAAAAAAAAAGAGGTAACTTAGTAAAATTTTGAAAAAGCACTTTTTTCTTCATTTTTTGACTAAAATACGCGTCCCCGGTCAAGATAGATTATTTTTATAAAAATGAATATAGAATCGTGTATAGTTTTTCAAGGAGATTCCGAAAATGTATTAATTATTTATTTTTTTAAATGTTCGAAAAATTTTTTTTTTTGACTAAACTACGCGTCCCGGTCAAGATACATTTTTTTTTAAAAAATAAAAGCAGATTCATATTTAGCTCATTAAATGGATACAGAAAATGTCTTTTTTTGATTTAAAAAAAAGTGGTAACTTTGTAAAATTTTTAAAATACTAATTTTTTACATGGAAAAACTACTCGTCCCCGGTCAAGATACAATTTTTTTAAAAAATAAAAGCAGATTCATATTTAGCTCATTAAATGGATAGAGATAAAAAAAAGAGGTAACTTAGTAAAATTTTGAAAAAGCACTTTTTTCTTCATTTTTTGACTAAAATACGCGTCCCCGGTCAAGATAGATTATTTTTATAAAAATGAATATAGAATCGTGTATAGTTTTTCAAGGAGATTCCGAAAATGTATTAATTATTTATTTTTTTAAATTTTCGAAAAATTTTTTTTTTGACTAAACTACGCGTCCCGGTCAAGATACATTTTTTTTAAAAAAATAAAAGCAGATTCATATTTAGCTCATTAAATGGATACAGAAAATGTTTTTTTTATTTAAAAAAAAGTGGTAACTTAGTAAAATTTTTAAAATACAAATTTTTACATGAAAAAACTACTCGTCCCCGGTCAAGATACAATTTTTTTAAAAAATTAAAGCAGATTCATATTTAGCTCATTAAATGGATACTGAAAATGTTTTTTTTATTTAAAGAAAAGTGGTAACTTAGTAAAATTTTTAAAATACAAATTTTTACATGAAAAAACTACTCGTCCCCGGTCAAGATACAATTTTTTTTAAAAATAAAAGCAGATTCATATTTAGCTCATTAAATGGATACAGAAAATGTCTTTTTTTGATTTAAAAAAAAGTGGTAACTTTGTAAAATTTTTAAAATACTAATTTTTTACATGAAAAAACTACTCGTCCCCGGTCAAGATACAATTTTTTTAAAAAATAAAAGCAGATTCATATTTAGCTCATTAAATGGATAGAGATAAAAAAAAGAGGTAACTTAGTAAAATTTTGAAAAAGCACTTTTTTCTTCATTTTTTGACTAAAATACAAGTCCGGGTCAAGATAGATTATTTTTATAAAAATTAATATAGAATCGTGTATAGTTTTTCAAGGAGATTCCGTAAATGGTATTAATAATTTATTTTTTTTAGAAAAATTAATATAGAAAAAATTTTTTTTTGACTAAACTACGCGTCCCCGGTCAAGATACATTTGTTTTAAAAAAATAAAAGCAGATTCATATTTAGCTCATTGGATACAGAAAATGTTTTTTTTTATATAAAAAAAAGTAGTAACTTAGTAAAATTTTGAAAAAGCACTCTATTTTCTGTATCCATTTAATGAGCTAAATATGAATCTGCTTTTATTTTTAAAAAAAAATTGTATCTTGACTAGGGACGCGTAATTTTTTTCATGTAAAAAATTAGTATTTTAAAAATTTTACTAAGGTACCACTTTTTTTTTAAATAAAAAAAAAACATTTTCTGTATCCATTTAATGAGCTAAATATGAATCTGCTTAGATTTTTTAAAAAAAAATGTATCTTGACCGGGGACGCGTAGGGACGCGTAGTTTTTCATTTAAAAAAATAATTTTTTTAAAATTTTACTAAGTTATCATTTTTTTTAAATCATAAAAAAACATTTTCTGTATTCATTTAATGAGCTAAATATGAATCTGCTTTTATTTAAAAAAAAAATTGTATCTTGACCGGGGACGCGTAGTTTTTTCACGTAAAAAAATAATTTTTTAAAAATTTGACTAAGTTATCATTTTTTTTTAAATCATAAAAAACATTTTTTAACTCATCTTATAAAGCTAAATAAGATTTTTTATTAATATTATATAAATTAAACCCGTTTGACCGGTGACGCGTATTTTAGTCATACCCGTATTTGGGTCATTCCATGTCAAATGAGCAAGAAAATTTAGACTTTTGGTTGACTCTTTTCAATTTCTATAAAAATTCTTAAGCATGTTGTATATGTTCTAATTAATTCAAAAACTAAATTTTGGCTCATTATCAATTATAACCTGAGATAATGGGTATTAACCCCTTCTGGTGCAAAAAAAATCTGCATGAAAGTAAGTGGTTATGAATACCACATCTTCCCAGCCATATCAGGAGGCGTAGCAATTTAAAAGAATATTAAATAGAACATGGATTGACAGCATTTTCATAATCATATTCATTATCATTTCGTATTTCATATATATCTGTTGCTAAATTTATAAGTATTTTAAAATAAATTTTTTTATTATTGATTGATAATGAAATTAAAATGATATATAAAAAATCTATGAAAAGAATAAGAAAACTAATATTGATAAAAAAGAGGTTGTTAATTTGAATACTAGGCCAAAATTTGGGGCACCATTTTTATTAGATAATACTTAGCAATATTTAATCCACCTTTCATATGTATTTGTTTTAATTTTTAAATATATGCTTAAAATATAATTTTCTTTATAAAATTAATTAAAAGAAATATTTATTAAATATAACACAATATTACCCTCCTCTGCCCCCGTTGAACAATTATTTAGCTTTGCTAATATGGTTAACAGATCAAATCGTCAAAGATTAAACGATAATTTATTTGAAAAATTAATAATATTAAAAAACAATGCTGATTTATGATGCTGATGTATTAATATTTACTAATTATACAATTATTAAAAAAAATATTGCATTATCTTATATAATAAATTTGTTATTTTCTACAATTTATTTTCAAATTTTTTATAAATTTATATTATAAATAAGGAAATAAATCTTTATACATTTTGATTTTGATTAGTTTTTTTAAAAAGGTATCTTGTATATTAGATACTTTTTTAAAAAAGATACAAGTATCTTGTATCTTATATTTTATTGAAATTTTTCTAAAGTATCTTGTATCTTAAATACAAAATTTTATAAAGTATCTGTATCTGTATCCGAATACAATTTTCTAAAAATTTGCCCAACCCCCTGAAAGTTGACATTTATTTTAAATGAAGAATTTTTTATAGCATATAAAATTACATAATTTTGTTTGCATCAACATTGGATTAGTGCATCTCTATTCTAACAAATTTTTAAAAAGGAAACGTATTTCATTTGTTTATGTATTTCTACATCTTTTTATTTCATATATATCTATATAATACATTATATGCTTACATAAATTATATTTTGAATAGATGGAGTTCGACAAAGAAGTTGAGGCTATGGACCCTCAAGGCATAGATCAATTTTCTTTGACACAATTAGCAATGACAGATGCCAAACAGTTGTTGATGGAAAATTCTTTAGATATAAAGGTAATATATTCTTTAAAAGAAAATTTATACTACAAAATGGAGTAGTTATCATATTTCTTAGTATTTTGAGTTAAAAATTTGGTTTGATGGCATATTTTTTTAAAATTGAAAACAATACTAAATTATCTTAAGCCTTTTAATAAGACAAATTAAAATAATTTTGAAACTTATATTTTGTTTACCTTTGTCAGCTTCATCATTGAAAAATTAAATCCCTAAATTCAATGCAGGATATTTAATAATTAAAAAAATACATATAAATGTGCAAATCTAATATTTATATAACCTAGTTGTTATTTAATTATACATTAAAAATATAAAAATTTTTTGCATTTATATTTTTTCCTTTGTTGATAATTCCATGTTTATACTAGGTCGAAGGTTTTTCCATATCAGCAAAGGGCAAAGTTCTTTTTGATAATGCAACCCTAATTATTAGTCACAATAGAAGATACGGGCTAGTAGGACCTAATGGGTAGCTGTAATTTGTTTTGCTAATTTATATTTTTTATATAGAGAAAGGAAGAAAAGTTAAGGGAAGAAAGATAAGATTGATAAATTCTTTTTTAAATCAAAATTATCTAGTTTAAAAATATGAACATATTTTGAACATTTTATGGAAGGGTACCCATTTTCAAGCTAGACTTAAGTTTTTTTTAAAATTTGGTCATTGGTAACAAAAATTTTGTTTGTTTTTTTAGAGGGTTTCAAAGGAAAGGAAGGCTAAAATATCGATAGTGAATTTTTAATATAGTCTTAATTTTAAATATTTTTAGGCCTGTTTCCAGGCTTTTTATATCACATTTTATGAATTTTATTTAATGATAATGGTGTTAATCGAATTAGGGCTAACAGTTTAAAAAATTGAACAATAATATCAGGCTTGATCAATTTTTTTTATAATGATTTCACTGTAGTAGTATTTCACCCATATCCCGTATAAAAAATAGACCTGTGCACTGACGGCAATTTTATTCACGCCCAAACAGCCGCCAATTGAGATCATCGGCACGAACCGGCTCGCCACCAATTTTTTTTATGGTGGCAGTGCGGTGTATATAATTTTTAGAATGCTGTTTAATTAATATATTAAATTATTATAATTTAAATTTGAATATTAATATTAATAAAATTAACATTTGTATTCTATTGCTATATAATATAAAAAGCCTTGTCACAAAATCATGTCACACTTTATAATATATATTCAAAAAATCGTTAATTTTGAAAAGTGCCTATGGCCCAATCGGGCAAGAACTTAGCTTACGGATTATTGGACTTGGAACCCCGGCAAATGTTTTTTTTTCTTAATCTGGTAAAATATTTTTTTTCTTAATCTGACAAAATTAATCAAATAGACGATTCAAAGAGTATGAGATTTATTTAAATACTTTTTTAATTCTTGAATTTATGTATAATTTAAAATTTAAACCATTATATGGGGAATCAGAATTTTCTCTTTTATTTGATGAGGGATGAATCAGAAATTTTCCTATCTTATGAGGTGTTATTTAAAAATTTATATTTATTTAGGGTTATTCTAAAATTTTCCATTATTTTTATAAAATATGTTAATAAAGTATATATTTAGTAATTTTGATTTATGTGTACAATTAAAAAGTCTTTTAAAATAAATTTTTATTCATTTGTATTTTATAATCTAAAAATTTATTCTTGCAGATGAGAGTTTTATGTTAAAATCCTTAAGAAGGATCCATTCCACATTGAATTTTATACAACTTTATATCTCTTAATTAGGTAATTTTTATGTATAAGTAAATATTTGCATCTCTCTTATCTTTATGAAATTGACCTTTCTACATGCATTTCATAGTTTTGTTTATTTTCTCATAACTTCATAATTTAATTGTAGAATGTATATTTTTCATAACTTATTATAACATTTTCGATTAAATGTATAACTTTTTTGTTTAACTTATATATAATTTGACTATGATTAAAGTTAACCTCCTATTATTTGTTAACTTAGAATATCTTTTTATTTTTTCTATTGTAATTTAATAACAATGTCTTAAATTTATATTTTGTAACTAAGTAATAAATCATTTGGAAGGGTGGTGGTTTGTTTAAAATTTAAATTAGAATTAACATATTTTTAGCATGGTACTTTAATATGTATTCATAATTTTCATATAAATACCAGGCAGGAGCTAACCAGTAGAATGATAGGTAAATCAAATATTTCCCCTTCATTTGATCCTAATTTTGAAAAATTTTCCCAATAATATAAATGGCAAAATATATACATATTAGACAGATTTAATTCTTATAAACCCCTACATCTCACCTATTTTTCTGGATCCAAGGAAAAAATAAATTATTCTGGGGTTTCCTGGGTTTGGGAAATATTTTTCACAATTAATATGGACTTGGAAGTAGCTTATATAGTCTTAGATTCCTGAAAATTTTTTAATTTTAAATATGGGTTAGAAATTGGCCTGAAAATTTCTTTTGGAGACATAGCCAGGCCTGATCAAATACCAAGGCCCATGAAACTTTCATATTCTGATTGTATTTTTAAATGCATTGTGACTTTTTATATATTTTATTTCAGTTCTCAACTATCAAAATTATTATGGTCTTTTTGAGAAAATTTTACCAAGTGCGTGGACCTGGCTTGTGAATTTTTTTAATATTAGGCATAGGTGTAATATTTAACACAGAATATTTATATAGCCCTAAGGTAAAAGCTAATTTAAATATATTTTTATAAAAATAGTATTCATTCTCATTCTTAATGGGTTGGCCTTTGTCTGAAGTAGGGGTGAGCTGGGTTAAAATAGAATAAAAAATAGATATGGTTTTTAGAGATTTACCTATTTTCTGGGTTGGGAAAAAATTTTGAAAATTACTATGGGTTGGCCAGGCTTGGGAAAATTTTTTTTATAAAATTTTTATAGGTTGGGCTGGGTTTGAAAAATATTTTTATAAATTATATTAGGCTGGGCTTGGGAAAAATTTTTCAAAAATATTATGAGCTAGAAGGCTTGAGAATTTTTTTATTATTACCTATGAGTCAGACATTGGCCTAAAAAAATTTTATGCAGGCCTGGGCTCGGCCTGATCAAAAAACCTAGGCCCATGAAAATCTGATTTTGATTGTATTTTTATTATTTAAATATTTTATTTCAGTTCTCAACTACCAAAATTATTATATTCACTGGGCTTGGAAGAATTTTTCAAAATTATTATGGCTTTGTACTTTGCCTGGGAATTTTTTTAATATTAAATATTAGGGATAAATGATCAGTAATATTTAACAAATAATATTGGTATTATCAAGTAAAAGCTTTAAATTTAATTTTATCAAACCATAGTATTTACACTTAGTTTTAATGGATTAAACCTGGCATGAACGGGGGGGGGGAAAGGAGGAGGGATTAAAAGAATAATTGGATATTATTTTCAAATAAGAGGTAACAACTATCATAAAAGTAAGAAGAAAATTCTCATTCCCCGCCATTTTTGACAGGTTATCTTCTAGTATAATATAATAGTGTATGTCATTTACATATATTCATATATCGTATTTCCACTAACAGTACATATTAGTTATTTTTATGGACTTGCACGTTTTAAACTACCCTATATACAATTCTGAAATAACAACTCTCTCTACTAATTATAAATTAAGTTATGTCTGGAGGTAATTTGGAAATCTCTTTTGAAGAATGAAAATAAGAAAAGCACAATAATGCCTGATTATATTTATTGTGAACCTTGCTTAAATCCATTTTATTGATATTCTCATTAAAATAATTAGAGAAATTATTTCAGCCCTCAGATATCGAGAATGTGAAATTGAGGAAGAGCATTATAAATGTCTGCAGTCAATTTATGAGGCAGGTCATATATTGGATATTGATGATTCTGATCCATACTTTGATGACCATTTTGATATGTCTGATGAATCGGATAACAGAAATGGCATTGCACCAACCAATTTAATTAATACGAAAACTTTAAAATTAAATTGCCCTACCTGTTAGCACATTATATTAATTATGCTAGAGAGTGTTCGTAATTTAAACTAAATTCCTATAAATAATGTCCTAAATAAAATAGGAAAACAATCTTTAAAGCTCTTTAATAATGAATGTGATATGATTGATGAGCTTTACGCAGTATTAAATCCTCAAGAGTCGGTGGAATTTCTTTCCTCCCAAAAGGGATCGACAATAAACTTATGATTATTATTTCACAGTGAAATAGAAACCATACAAAGCAATAGATTTTGCTCAGATATTATTTGCTTAAAATAAAATATGAAAAAAAGCTTGACCATAGGTTTACCATTACTGAACTTTAAGTTATTTTATATTTTTATTAATAAAATTATATTTTAAACATTAGATATTAGCGACTCTATTATCCCAGCAAAATCTAAAAATTATTTCAGAATATTTAAATTCGTATTTTAAATCATTGCAATTTTTAATTAGACATTTAAAACTTTTAGAGCATGATAGAAATGCACAGAATGAGATTTAAGTTGAAGATAATAGGCAAGCATCCAGTTCTTATATAGCTAAAATAGCTCATTCCCTTCCAAGTAACGATTATAACAACATTAGTAATCTAGAACTAGAATGTCATGTTTTGCTCAACTAACATAATATCCCAGTAGAGGATGCACATTAACCTTTCGGAAGAAAAAGCGACGGGAACTTCATAGGCTTGCTAATTTAGCTAGGAATTTTTTCCATTGCTGGATTAATACTCAATGCAAAAAGACTTCTTTATGTCCCACGAATCTTGATAAAAATACTATTTATTCATGAAAATTAAAATTTTGATGAATCTGAATTCTGATTTATTATATTTCATGCTTTATATTTTGCTTGCATTCCAAATTTATATTTTAATTTGTTATAATAAAAATCAATAGAATATTACTAATATGTGTTGTTTATGTGACTCTGATCTGAGAGAATGAGAGAATACTTAAATTTAAATTGGAGTGAAACAGGAAATAATTTTAGAAATGAATTAAACTATGTTAATAATGTATTAGAAAAGAGCGCCCATAAATTATAAAAAAATGTAATACTTTGATTTATAAATTAATCGCGCCTCCTCCGCCGACAATTTAGCAGGCGGGCGAAATACGCCGATGAAAAAATTAAAAAATAATGCCGCCGTCGATTGAGACATCGGCGCACAGGTCTGATAAAAAATAACAAATACTTATTTCTAAAATTTACTTTACCATTAAGGATGGGCAAGACAACTTTGCTCAAGCACATAGCCTCGAAGGGTTTAGCTATCCCCAAACACATAGACGTACTTCTATGCGAACAAGGTTATAAAAACAACTCGTTTATATCCAAATATATCATCTATTCATGAACTTCTATTATTCTTCAACGTTAAATTTGTGACACTCTGGGAATTTACCTAAGAGTGTAAAAGAGAAAATAAAGGTGACGTAATTTGGAAGTGATTAACATTTTCCTTTTTTATATGACTAGTGTTATACGGACAACTAGTGATTTTAATTTAGTAAAAACAAATTATCAAAAAAAGTATATAAGGTTGTCTAATCCACATAAATTTCTTGTCATTTAGGGGACACAGAGTCTTAAATTAATATTTTCACCAAACGTCTTTTTTCATTCTTTGACCTTAAACCTAGCTACAAATTTGAAGGTTTTTATGCACCCACTTTTCCAAAAACCTGACAACAATCATTGCACTTCTCTTTCTTCTTTCAACTGCTGTTAAAAACTAATCTAATTAACAGTATTTTTAAAGCCATGGCTCGTCATTCAAAAATTAGAAAATATAGGTTTGCCGATATATTCCATTAAATATTTTAAAAACCTTCAAAACACTTTGAAATAATTGTTGAATATTGTTTTGCCAAATTAAGCTAGGTTTTATTCATAACTAAAATAAAGGATAGGTGGTATTTATAATTATATCATGTGCGATTTTCTAGATGCCACTAGGGTTTATTAAAAGATGTGCCTTATTTACAATGTTTATATATTGTGTGTTATATAAGGTTTTATTGGAAATTTAATCGTTAATTTCTTACATTCTTGATTTTATTTATAGAGGTGGTAGCGGACGACACTTTAGCCGTTGATGCAGTTTTGAACGCCGACAAAAAGAGGCTCGCCCTGCTAAAGGAAGAAAAAGAACTGTTAAGCCAGCTAGAAACCTCCCAAAACATGGCCTCTAACGACCGGCTCAAGATGGTTAATATAACCTAATATATTAGCCTTTTTTTATCACGAATGCTAAAAATTGTAATTTGATTTAGATGTGATGTCAATTAATAATGAAGCCTCTCATAAGATTAATTGAGATTCAACACTTTTTTTTAATACATTGTAGCATCTTTTTACAGGGAGGTTAAATGCCATAATTTCCCTAAAAAATTTCCTCGGAAATAAATACCCCATTTTTTCTATTCTAGAAAATATTAAGTAGTAAATAATTCCCCCAAAATTCCCTTAACTATTTTTTTTAAAATATTAAAATTAACCCCGTCACCAAAAAATGCAAATATTTCTAAAAATATTATCTCAATGAAAATGTACTATTTAAGTTGTTAAGTTGCAATTTTTTTTTCGAATTTAGCAAATTGGTAAGAATAAATATATATGTAATAATATATATTGAAGATGATGTAGAAAAATGACAATCATCATAATTATTATTCTTAAACTTTATTATGATATAAACATTTTTTGCATATTATGATTTCAATGAAAACAGGGTTTTTGATAAGGGGTCCTCATTATTTCCATAAAATAGTACAAAGAAGTGCAATTGAATATCTTGGCCAAAAAATAATTTTAATATTTATTATGTTTTAATCCTCAAAAAAATTTGAGCAAAAATCTTTTTTTAAATAAGATAAATTGATAAATTTTAACCTATATATTACAAATTTTTTATCAGTTCTTTTATATATAATTAAATCCTTTGCATTTTCTATTCATAAAAAATCTTTCAAGTTGAAATCACAATTTATATAAAAATATAATTCTCAAAAAAATTTTTTTTAACTCAACAGTTTTAAATTTAACAAATCAATAAGACACTACAAAACACATTTTCGCGAAATTTTTATAGCGAATGTTTATTACGAATTGATTTTATAGATAAACTTTTGTTGCGAATCCCCACATTCGTTTGCTATTCAGCGAAGACCATATCGAGAATTTTTTATAATCGAGATCTGTAGAGCTAATACATAACAGCGAAACTTTTATCGCTAATTTATAATAACAAAAATCTTATAGAAAAGCCGAAACCAAATCGCCAAGACAATTTAACGAAAAATATTTTGCGAATCATATATAATGAATTTATTAATGTGAAGTCAATATCGGGGAAAAAGCGCAAAAGCTATACCGCAAAAATTGCTAATAGCTAGTGACAACTTTCTTAAAATGAATAGAAAAATATATTTTATTTTTCCTGAATATCAGTTTTTTGGGCAATTCCGTTTTATATCTGAATATTAAGAAATAATTCCGGTTCAGTATTTTAAGTGTTTCAGTTTTAATTTTGAGTTATTAAATATAGGCCAATTTAAAATATGAAACTCGATAAATCTGGTGGTAACTTTGATACTTTTATCAGGGGACATGCAAGCCCGACGTATTTTAATTTTTTTAAATATACTCAAACCAGGTCTAAAATTTTTTTTAAAATGCCGAATATTTTAAATCGCTAATATTAGCTATAAAAATAAAAAATAAAGTAATGTATTTTATAAAAATCCGAACCAGACGAAAAATTTTTTTAAAAAAAAATTCGCAGGCCGTGCAAATGGTATTTCTGCAGGCCTCTGACTTTTATAATTTGGCATCGATAACATAAAAAGTATTTAAATAGATTTTCGACATTTTGGAAAGAAAATATGACGCCAAATTTAAATGGAGAGGCTACGATGAAAATGAAATAATTACAATAGTTATTTTAACAATGCTCAGATAAAAAATTATAGGGATAACAATTTTATAAACTAGAATTGAAAATATGAAAAGTAAAATTATGTTAAACGAATCCTTATTATTTTCCAGATGGAAAAAATTCTTATGACCAACCATTTTTGAAGGCAAGTAATTCTCATTTAAAATCCCCTAATGGATATTTAAAAAAAACTTCTTTTAAATGATAAATAATTTTATAATTTTTTTTTAAAATAACTAGGTTCTAAAAATTGTAAAAATAAATATTTTTTAAAAGAAAAAATTTATATGACGGTATTTTTTTTACTTCCAGTCTTTATTTAAAATTCGTTCCCGTAAATAACTAAAAGTTGGGAAAAATGTTTGTAGACCAACAAAAATTTTTAAAGTAGAGACCTAACGGTCAGTGTCAAAAAATAATATTATTTAAAAATCCGGGTTGATCTTAAAAAATTTAAAAAATAAAAAATCCTGATTAAATGTTAATTTATGATAATATTTTGCTTAATATCACTGAAACTAGGTATCTAGCAGGTAATTTAGGTTAGGGGTATGATATAGTTAACCATTATATTTTATAATCATTTTTTTGCTTAAATTTCACTAAAACTGGGTTTGTGATAAGGCCATAATGTTATATGGTTTAAGGCTAATCGATAATATTTTAATAATTAGATAAGTTTAGTTTAACATTAACTACTTTTTGTTTATAATTTTGGTTAACAATTTTATTTGGAAAATATTTTTCAGGGATATATTTTCCAAAAAATTTTTTTATTTTGTTGATTTTTTTCAAAATTTTTAAAATTTTATTTGGAGAATTTTATTTCTTGGATATATTTCTAGGTACTTTTTTCTCCATTTTTATTAATTTTCTAAAAAAAATATTTTTTAATATATAAAAAAACGGGGAATTTTTCCCTTAGATTCTTATAAAATATACCGAATTTCGTTGATAATTTTATTAATCTATTTTCATTTCATACTAATACAGTGCACTAATTTATTACTTACAGTATTAATGCGCGATGATTGTATTCATCCACAACAAATATAATGACCATTTATTACCATAAACGCAAAAATAAAGGTTTACGAAGAATTGAAATCTGTAGGGGCCGATTCAGCCGAGTCCAGGGCCAAAAGGATTTTAAGCGGTTTAGGATTTACGATCGAGATGCAAAAACGGGCTACTAAACACTTTTCGGGTGGTTGGAGGATGCGTGTATCTCTGGCTAGGTAACATCTTTCTTTTTTCCTTTTAAACTTTTATCGAAGAATTTTTTATGTAGAAATGAGGAAGAATATCATATTTTAGAATAAAATTTTAAGATAATACTCTTTTGGACATATGGTTTAATATTTTAGGTCAAGGCTTATTACCCCCATTTGGTCGGAAAAATAGCAATTTTTAAACTTTTTTTTAATATGAACTCTTATCCCGTATCTCTAACTTTTTTTTACCTTTCTAATTCTTAGCACACTTATGATGGAAATTGGTCACAGAAAAAAAGCTTATCATTTGCATTTGTAAATATTTTATTTGAATGGGAACAATAAGTTTGAACTTATAATATACACTTGAACTTGAATAATATTATTTTTATTGGGCTAATTAAATTTAGGGTAGATAAGATAAGCGGAATATTTTATTTTCGTAATTTATTTATTACTAATATAATTATTGACAACTAATATTTTATTGGCATTTTGGGATTTTTTTTGTTAATGTAACATATTTTTATTGCCTTAATCTACATTGAGAAAAGAGCTCCTTATGCTTTAAAAGTATATTTATGTGTCATTATTATTCAGAGCTCTATTCTTAGAACCTACGCTCTTGATTCTTGACGAACCTACCAATCATTTAGATCTTAATGCGGTCATATGGCTCGACAAGTAGATATTTTTTAAAATAATTTTACATAGTATATTTTTATCCATTCATTCACTCATTTATTGATATTATATTGATTTGCACTTGATTCAATAAGTAGCTAAAATGAAGGAACACGAAACACCACCTGATTCTTATTTGATGTTTTTTATTTTCCTTGTGCGACTCAAATTTTAATGATAATAATATAGACATTCACATGGCATTTTATCTACTACCCAATCAAAGAAATGTATTCATTCACATTTTATTTATATGCGCGTTTTGCCACTACTTATTTATATCACACAAGTTACCTGCAAAATTGGAAGAAAACTCTACTTGTGGTTTCCCACGATCAAAGCTTCTTAGATAACATATGCACTGATATCGTACATTTAGACTATCAAAAATTGAATTATTACAAAGGAAATTTTAGTATGTTATCAAATAATTTTTTGGAAAAATTTATTTACTATTTTATTAAATTATGGCTTGAAAAAAACCTTGTTATTTTTAAGGGATTTTTAGACGACGAGGATAAGGGACCTATATATAAAACATTTATCAATTTTAACTAGATTTTGGCATGGAGTACAGGGTTTGGCATAAAGTTGCAAATAGCCTTATATTATAGAAAGTTTTACGTTATAATTCTTCCGTTTTGAAAATGTAACGAAGAGCTACCATAACCATTATATATTTGTTTGGGTAATTTAACGTTTGTTTAGCATTTTTTTAAAAATAAAAATATTTAAAATGGAATTTCTTTGTATTAATTAACGGAAAATAAGGAATCCAATAAAAAGAGGGAATAGGATTTCTTCATTTTTATAATTTATTCATTGTGCGATTCATTTATTATTTATTTATTTTAAAATGAAGATATATAAACTAAAAATTATTTATTCCTATTTACTTAAAATTTAGAACTAGTGTTAAAAATCTCAATTTGGCCGATTTTTTAAATATAAAATCAGATAACTCAAGTGAGACCTGCCGGCCAGGATTTAAGCCCGACCTGGGTACACGGGCGTGCGGTATTATTAATTTTTTATATACCTGGGTCTGCCTAAGAAATTCTTTTTAAATATGTGAGCCAGGCTTAAAAAAAATTTTTTCAAAAATACCCAGGCCGGGCCTTATATTTATAAAATAAATATTTTAAATCGCCACTATTATATATAAAAATTAAAAATAAGTATAATATATTTTAAGATAATCGGGGCCGGGCTGAAATTTTAAAAAATTCCGGACCAGGCCATGTAAATAGTACCTCTGCGAGACTTTGATATATTCAATTTTTTATTATTATGATGGATAAATTCCTAATTAAATTTACATTCTACATATAAGTTGATAAATATTTTATGAGATCCTGTACCGGACCAGGGATGTGAACCCGGACCCTGAACCCTCGTATGCTGTACCCGAACCCGAATCCCTTTTAAAAGTGAAGAGTCCAAGGTGTCATAAAAAATTTATACATAAAAAATTTATAAAATAAAAATATTTTTTTAAAAAATAATAACATAAAAATATTTTTTTAAAAAATAATTTTTATTAACTTTTTTTCGTGGAATCATTTATTTTATCTTCGCGTTTTTCTTTCATTTTTATTTCTGGACATCCATTTTATTAAATTGATATCATAAATTATTTTCTAGTGTAGGTAATAATATTTTATTATGTAAATTTATTATAGATTTCCCCGCAAATATATATTGCTTCAGAAGTACCCATACTCTATAATTGGCTATTAATGATTCTTAAAAAATAATCACTTTAAACTATCATTGATAAAACAAGGGATGTTGCAAAATATTTAGGAACTCCCACAATTGTAATAATATTAAAATCAATGGAAAGGTCAATGGAATATTAGATTGCACAACACGTTGGAATTTGTATGATGCTAGAACGATTATTGAAAGATTTCTCTAATGATTTTATTATAGGAAAGTCATTTTACCGGAAGATGATTGATGCCAAATAAAGGACCTCACTAGTGTATTAGTCCTTTAAAAATAACAACATTAAGATTACAATCAGAACAGCTATGTTTATCTGATTTTTATGGCATATGGATTAGAGGCCGATTAAATTTAGAAAGGTTTACTAGTCCTTTTTTATACGAAATATTAGAAAACATGAAAATTCGAGAGAAACAATATTTGCAAAATAGTGTTGTATACGCTTCTATATATTTAAACCCTCGATATCAATTTTTATTGAGTATTGACCATCTTAAGGATTTATGGCATACGCAACAAAACTCCATTATTTACAATATATTGGCGACAATAATACCTATTGGTTGTAGTGATAATAATGATAATGATAGCAACATTGATGATCTTGAAATTTTACTTTTAGATAAAGAAAAAAAATCAAATTATCATCAGATAGAATGGAGGATCAAAAAATGCCTATTGCATCTTTAATAGAAAAGTTCTCAGAAGTTAAGAGAATAAATAAGTATACATATTTTAATTCTGGGAAGTAAATTCTTCAATATATCCATAATTATATATCTTGTCTAGAATCGTCATGGCTGTACCGCCGACACATGTACAATAATTTATGTATTTAAAGATAACTATCTATTTTAGGTAAGCACAGAATGTGGATTTTTATCTTTAAATTTACTTGGAAATCTCAAGGACGATATTATGATTGTGCGATTGAATAAAACATTTTAAATATAAATTATTTCATTTTTATTTGAAAATTATGAATGTGTATGAAGTATAATAATAAATGAAAGTTTTATTTTGAGTCATTTTTTCTATGTTCCCTAAACTCGGACCCTTTTTAAATTACTGTACTCTGACCTGGTCCTTTTTTTGTCGAAGGGTTCACATCCTATATCAGACCCGGCCGGCACTGTATTATGAAACATGCATTCTATCCAATAAAGATACCAGTGAAAATTGGATCCATTGCATCTAATTACAAGTAGTTGATTTTGATGGTTTAGAGATCCCTTCCCTCTAATTTACTATTTAAATAGGTTAAGTGTAAAAACTAAGAAATAATTTGAATATAATCGATTTAAAAAAATAAAATTCATCAAGGTTCTTTCAAAAAAATGTATGCGCAAAAACAGAAAGAATACCTGAAGGAATACGAAAAGCAAGAGAGAAGGCTTAGGGAATTAAAGAAATCCGGAAAATCTACTAAAGCTGCAGTAAAAAAATCTCGTTTTTATATGGAAAGATTGAAAACAATGTTTTTATATGGAAATAGTGCTGTAAACATTTTTAAAAAAATCGAACGCGTTCAACGTTTATTGACAAAAATCGAACGCGTTCACGTTCAAGTTCATGTTCAAAAAAAAGGAACGCGTTCACGTTCATAAAACCGTTCAAAATTTTATGATAAATTTTTTTAAAATTTAATTTAATATAAATAAACTTATATTCTTTAATGCAATATATTTTAGCCATGTTAAAAAATAATATAGTTTTATTTTGATAATATAATTATAAATATAATATAATATAGCAAATAAAAAGATATTTTTATTTATAAAAAATTTTTCTTATTAAATTTTAATAACAATTGTTTCAAAATATTTATCTGATAGACAGGAACACTTGGCAGTTAATACGGCATTAGCCATACTAAAACGCGCTCAGGGGCAGATGAGGGGATTGCGGTATTATACTTAATAAACAGCTCTTTTAACGTTGAGAATTAATTAAAAACATATTTTGTTATTTACAAAAAATTGAGATAAGTTATCCTCCTTCAATCCATTCTCCACTCTCGACGAAAAAAAGGATATCTCGAAATTAACAGTTCTCTAGGGGTTTCAAAGCATTTTTTTCAATAATGCTATAAGTTTATTTTTAATAGGTTCGTTCTGTGGAAGTTTTATCCATGGCCATTGAAGTTTGAATGCTGGATGTATAATTGCAGAAAGAAGATATGGATCCTTATATATATATATTCAAATCTTTAAAAAAAATATATGTAATTAATTGAGAGTGATAGGTTTAATACCTTTTATTAATCCCATTTAATACGGCGTCTATCAATGGTTGACCATATTTGAGGCCACTAATTTTTTTAATTTTAAAATAACTCGTTATTATTGGGGTCAAATATCCCAAATGCATTATTTCTTCAAATTTAATGATTTAACTTAGTTATATCATATAAAATCAAATAATTAATATTAAAATCAAATGTCGTTTTAAATTGGAACCTGAAGATTTTGACAATATAATACTTTTTGGCCACATTTTACACTTGGTAAGCATTGGATTAGTTCCTTCAATATAGGATGTTAATGTAAAACATTTATCATATTTGGCCATAGTAATGATAATTCATCTGATTTTAAATTTTCAGAATCAGATGATGAGGATTAAATAATAATATCCATGCTTATGCTATTAAATTAAAATATAAACAATAATATTCAAATTAATAAACTATGTGTTAAAAAAATTGAAATGTGAAAAGGAAATACACAGCCGATTAAAAAAAAATAAATAATACATTTTTTAAAAAAATTTGGAAATATTAAATTTTTCAAATAAATAAAAATAAAAATATTTTTAAAATTGAACGAACGTTCGTACGCGTTCGTCATAAAAAAAAGAACGCTTTCACGTTCAAAGTTCGTCAAAAATAAAAGAAACGCCGTTCATCATTTTTTTCAAAAAAACGAACTTCGTTCACGAACGCGTTCATACAACACTATATGAGATTGAAAACAATAATTTATCATAAATTTTTTTATATTCGCCCAGGAATCAGATCAAAAATCAATGATGAGTCGCAAAAAACACGGCCCCGCTAAAACCGGTGTTACTGGTCCCGATAATTTAGCCGACGATGCCGGAAAGCCTACCAAGTTACTAACGAGGCCCAAAGAATATTCCGTTAAATTTCGCATACCCCAACCCGCCCCGCTTAAACCACCCGTCCTTGGGGCTCACAGTTTATATTTTATGATCTTTTTGATTCTTAATTATGATAGATAGATGTTTTTATCTACCAGATTTGGAATTACTTTTTATTTGAAGTATCCATAATAATCATTTGGGCTGAATTTCTCAAAGGAAAATATAAACTTTGCATTGTAAAAATGTAACCTAATAACAAAGATCGAGATTTGGTTATAATTTATAATTTTTTGCTTGTATTTTTTTGAAGTATCGGTTTTTGTTAGAATTGAAATATGTTTATCGCCATGACACCTGAAAGTGGTCTTTTCGTGCTTAAATATTTTTTTGAATATTTGTATTTATGTTAAACTGTTAATCATGGTATATAGCTTGAGACGCCTACCCATCTAAAATAGCCTTATGTACGATCGAATTTATGAATTCCATTCCTCCTATCTTATCCAGTTTTAATCCAAATCGGATTGATTTTTATGATTTCACCCTGATCAAAGACTAGACTTTAACTGTTACTTAATCAGCTTCTATTTTATATCGTGCAATTTATAATCAGCAACTATTTTTTATTACTATTATGCTTGACTTATAGATGTTACCTTTGGATACCTTGGGCAAAAACCTCTGTTCAAAGACTTGGAGTTTGGTATCGACATGACTTCTAGAAGTAATTATACAAGGCATTGTTAAGTTTGCTATCAGATTTATACTTAATTATTAAAAAACACTAGTTATATAGTTTCAATAGCCAAAACACTTTATATTTAAATGTCCTATTAGGCCGATTTAAAAAAAATTTAAATAAGTATTTGTTCGTGTAATTTTATAGGGATATGCCTTACCTCTGGGTATTTCTTTCTTTAAAATTACTAACCACAACTATATCGGGCTAAAAATAAAAACTTAGTGGTCTGGTTTATAGTATCACATGATTGTTAATCATATTATTATATTTTGTTGTAAATATTAAAGGTGGGCGGGGAACTTTTTATTCACGGCTCGCCCGCTCACGAAAGATAATTTTTTCATCACACCCAAAAAATTCATGGTTTTAATTTTTTTCTAAATTTCTCAAAAATTTATTGTAACTTTTACGCTTTTTAAAATTTATTCTATCATAGTTTTTTATTTCTTTAATTAGTGATTAATAACAAACAAAATAAGTGCCATTTATAAATCAAAATCTAAAAGTTCAAGTGATCATATTTTTCATATGTAAAAATCGCCATTATTAAATTATTTTAAATTGGACCAATATGACTTATTATTATCAACCGAAATTTTTTAAAATACTTATATAATTCAAAACAAAAACAAAATAACAGTCACTATCGTAGGTCCCAATGGCGTCGGTAAATCAACGGTATTAAAACTGCTTCTGGGCAAATTGACCCCGGTAATAAAAAATTATCAACAAGGGTAGGCTGGATGCCTAGGGCTAAGATTTGAGTTTGGTTTACATAAAATACTTGCTGTCGTAATAAATAGAGAGATACGACATTTGATAAGGCAACGTAAAAAAAATACTATAACCATAATAATTTTTGTATCTTATCCTTGGTTTTTTTTAACAATTAGCCCAAATAAATGTCTCTGCAAACGAAATATTTAGGGTTTTTCATTATATTGTTACGAAATCGTCACTAGGTTAAAATATAGGATCTATTTATTAACCCTGCATGTTTTTATATTTTTATTAATATTTTAATAGCAAGCCGGCGAAATCAGGAAAAATCACCGACTGGTACGTTGTTATTATAATTTATTTATATATCTATCTTTTTCTTCCGATTTCATTGAAGGAAGGAATAAAATATATTTATCTTATTTGATTTACAAAAAATTTTAAATTTAAACAAATTAATGTTATTTATATATTTACAATTAATTTAAAGTTTTAAAATTTAATAAAAAAAAATTAATTTTATGTTTCTGCCTTATCCTCGAGACTCAATCCTATATTTTTGGCAAAACCTCGAGGTGGTGTTAGTCAGCCGATTTCCCATCACAATTTAATGATGTAAAGATGTAAAGGACGCCTTAACTAGCAATTCTTTTCCTTTACTCGTTAACTTTAATATCAAGCAGGGTTTCGAACCCTTAAGAATACTGGTTCAGTTCGTTCCGGTTTTTTAGTTAAAATTTTATAATTTTTTTCGAAAAAATTCATATCGGTTCGGTTTAGAATTTATAACGGCCCTTTTCTGTTCGTTTCGGTTTTTTTACATTTGTTTTTTTAAAATTAATTATGAACCTTATATATATTAATCTTAAAGAAAAATCTTTTTAATTTCTTTATTTAGTTTAACCATGAAGAATATCTCTTATCTAATTAACTAGTAATTTGCCTAATCTCTATTAAATTGAATATATAAAGTATCACGAATTTAAATTGCCCCCAAAGAAAATTAATTATTTTAAAACCATTATAACCCGGTTCAAAATATTTATAACAGTTCGGGTAGCTTTTTTAATATTTTTTTTATAACGGTTCTATTACGTTCCGGTTTCGCGGTTCAGTTCGAAGCCCTGTATCAAGTAACAGGAATGCGTTACTTTTTGGAAAATAAACGAGAAAAAATAAAAAAAGACAAAAATCAAAGATTTAATTAACACTTAATTTTACTAAATAAATATTTTAGCGGATCGGATATTTTGACCAACATTCCGGTGAACAGTTAACGGCTCAAGAAACACCTATCGAATATCTTCAGGTTTTTTCTTTTTATTCCTACAATTATCCATCACGATAATTTAGATATTTATATCAGAGACCTTCATGGGCCTTAATTTTTAGACCTCGCCCGGCCCAGGCCCGCAGTAAAAAATGTTTTTTGATCCAAGCCCGGCCCAGGCCCGCAATAAAAAAAATTTTTTGGCGTAAGCCCGGCCCGACGTACATTTAATGTTAAAAAAAATTCCCAAGTCCGGCCCAAGCCCATAATAAGTTTCACAAAAATTTCCCAAGCCCGGTCTAAGACCATATACAAAAATTTAATTTTTTTTATTTAATGAAAATAAACAATATTTAAATATATTTAGGCAATCATTTTGTTTACAATACTGAAATTTATTAATATTAGAAGAAAAAAGGCAATAATTCATTAAATTAGCAACTGTTTTAAATAATGCCCAGCACAAACCAATTAAATTTTTTTTAATAAACCCAGACATGGCTCAAACCCGCTAGAAAATATATAGGTTTTGGAGGAGTAAGCATCTAAAAAATTGATCATATTTAAATTTTACCCATGTACAAAGATCAGAGAACTGGTTTAAGGGTACTTTTATTTTTCAATGGTCAAAAGATATTTAATTTCAGGTTTGGGAACGTTTCGGGAGAATTTTATTTTATTAATTATAAATATAAATCAATTATTGCACCTAAGCCAACATATATTGGCCTTCAAATTGTGTTAAATACCACAGATCTATGCCCTCATAATATTGATTTTTTTTATATTATAAAATGTTTGCATTTATTTAGAAATTTAATGTTCATTTAATAGAAATGTAGATTTTAAATATCAACTTTTAACTCTTTAATTTTAAAGTGTATTTATTTTATATAATTTTTAATGAAGGAATGATGATATAAATTATATTCAATATTTTTAATATAATAATTTTCATTGATCGAAAAAATATTTTAATACTAAATAAAAGAAATAATTATTGCCTATGTATGAGCCATTGTACTATATTTATAATTATGTTAAATTAAAGTAAGATTTTCATTATTTTCTTAGAAACGTTCCAGAATCTCCGTTCTCCTTCCATATTTTCCCCAAATTCCATTCCACCTCCCTGTTTTAGACACAACTGTCCTTCATAAAATAAGAGGGAACTTACAATACCTCAAATTGATCATTGGTGTTTGGCGCTGTTTTTTTTAACGTTTACCAATTTACACATTACCATTTAATATATATCATTCGTGTGGATAATTGCATCCTAATACATCATCTAAAAAATAAAATCAGTTTTGGATATAGTGTTGAAATTCGATTTTATTTAAGACGGGTGAGATATGAATAGAGAAGGAAGTATACAAAAAATAGACGTCGGCAAAAAAAAGAAAAGTGTTAAATATGGAATGGAATAGGAAGAAGAAAAGTGTTAAATATGGAATGGAATAGGAAGAAAATAAAAAATGAAAACAATAATTAATAAATTATAATAGAGAAAGAGTATAGATATCAAGGAAAAATATAATTAATTTAAGAGATATATGGAAAAGAATACTAATATTTTTATTCACAAATTAAAACTCAGCGCCTCTTCAACTTAGATTACCAGAGCGCCCGCAAAAATCTGGGCATGGTCGGTCTCGTAAGTCACGCTCACACCGCTAAAAATTCCGAACTTTCAGGTGGCCAAAAAGCTCGCGTTGCCTTGGCACAACTCGCTTTAGCCAAGCCTGATTGTCTCATACTGGTATTTAAACAATTTTTTAAAAAACATTCTCTTACCAAGTTATAAATTTTCGAAAATATTTCAATAATTTAACATGATATTTATTGTACAGGACGAACCTACAAACAATCTCGATTTAGAATCCATAGACGCTCTTTCCGAAGCTATCAACGAATTCCAAGGAGGTTTTTTTTATATTGCTACTTATCTTTGCATTTTATAACCAATTGAGAGTTATGCTTGGATTATCTATATCTCTTATTGGCCCGAGATTAGCTCTATCTACCTTTTCTATCAGGTTCTCGAAACTTCCTTTCATAGCTTAATGAACCATGTTTTTTTAATACCAGTCACGATGAATCCCCAATAATGGCATTTTTGCAATATGTATATGGTTGTAGAAGATAATTTGATTAACAAATTGCGTTTTCCAAATAAACATTTAAATCCAATTTTGTTGATCATTTCGTTCTTTTTATTTTTCCATTTATTTTACATATATAGGTGTGGTCATTGTCAGTCATGACGAACGGCTCATACGGGATACCAGTTGCGATCTATGGATAGTAGAAGATAATCAGGTCAATAAAGTTTTGGGCGATTTCGATGATTACCGAAAGGAGATTTTAGAGGCATTAGGTGAGCAATTACAGCATCCTCAAGCAACTACGCACTGAAAAAAAATTCACAATTTTTTAGTAACTTTAAAAAAACTCGAAATTTAGCAATAATTTATTAAAAATACCATTATATTAATCATTTAAATTCACTAAGTTATCCTTAAGCCAATAAGGAATCAGATAAACAAAATTAACGGATCAATCTTACGGTCATTAACATTAATCCCCAACCTATTCATTAAAAAAAAATAGACTAAATTTCAATTTTTCGCATTTGATACATTTTTAAACAATATATCTATATACCTGTTAAAAATATTGTTACAACTACATATTAGTATATTTGAAAAATATTTTATCATATACTCAACCATAACGGGTTAATACAATCCTCCATAATTTCAAATTTACTATCCAAAATGTCGATTTCAAAGTTGGTAAAAGAAGATTATATTAGTTAAAAATAAGATTATTCGATAAAAACGTTTTTTCCTCTAAATAACATTAAAATTATAATAAAATATAAAAGTTCGAAATTTTTAAAAGTAGTGATTGATTTTAGATTTATTAAAAAGCCATCATCAAGGAACTTTTCCAAAATTCAAATTTAAAAGTATTCTATACTGGTATAAAGTTTCATTAATCGCCTTAAATCATAATTTTTTTTTAAAAAAAATAAATTATCTAAAAACATCCACCCAATTTTAACTCAATCAACAATTTATTCCTTTATTAATATTTTTTGTTATGACATATTCTTATAATAACTTCTCAATTGTTTGTTTTATTATCTATTTTTTGAATTATAATTTTTTCTATTTTTTTTTGTTATCTCAAAATACGAAATATAATTTGTTATGCTTAATATTCGGAATGGAATTTCTTATTAAACGATTTTATATAGAGTAAATATTTATCATAATATATTTACTTCAAAGATGTTAGAGATCTGCAGGCCTTGTTCTGTCCGGGTACACGGGGCGAGCCATATTTTAATATTTTTTTAATATATCCAGGCCGGGCTGGACTTAAAAAATTATTGGGCCGGGCCATATATTTTAGAACCAATTTTTTTTAAAAAAAATCTGAGCCGGGTAAAATTTATTTTTAGAAAATTCCAGGCTGTGCCGTACAAATGGTGCCTCTGCAGATCTCTGGTGATATTAAGAATATCCAAATTGTGAGCGCATTATTTAATTGCATATGCACATGTTTAACTGATGTGTAAATTGATGCTTGACTATGTTTAATTTGTAAAATCATAATGAACCGAAGAGTGGATCTGGTGAAGTACATATTTTTAGTCATATTATCGAATTGGACACTTTCATTTTAGGAAGAGGACTTTTTAAATAATTCACAATTTTCATTTTTTTAAAGATTGGTTTTGTTATAAACTTAAAAGGGCATACGTCCTTAAATTAACACAGAATTTAACCTAGCAATATTTATTAATAAAATCTTTTAAAAATGTAGCCTATAATTATTAACAGTAAATATATATATATATATACATAACATAAAAAAGATTATTTGTACATTTGATTTAGAAAAATATATCACGAATTATATAAGTTATTTATTCTGAGGTGGTTATATCATCACATTGCAGTAAAAATATTGAGCGTTGTTTTAGCAAAAAGTAAAAAAAACTGAATAAATATAATGTATTACATTTAAAAGGTTTTCCAGACTTTTGGAGAAAACAGAATGTTGATATTTCAAAGCCTAACTATAAATATATACCGCTTTCATTCCGTGCCATTTTTTTTGTAAAAAAAAATATCGAATATCATCTCCTTGTGCACCTCATAGCCCTGCAACATCATAAAATCTATCATCTCTTTTTTCACTTGAAGATTTACTGGATAAGGGCTGTGTCGGAATTCTATGCTCAGAACTTTGATATTAACCTTGTTCCATGGTATTGTTTTTAAGATTTCCAATTCTGGCCCATCCACGTCTAAGCTAAAATAATCGATTTCCACCATGGGTGGGTCTATTGCAAGCAAGATTGAATAAAGTGGTAAACATTGTACCAGGGAGTGGATCGAAATATCGGTTAGTTGAACATTTTTTTCAAAAATCTGGTGCCCGTTGAAATTGAACTGTGTAATTGATTTACAAATTATTTTTTTGTTAAACATTTCATTCATGATCAATAAAATTATTATTATAAAAAAAAGTATTTAGAAAATGCTCATAATTTTGAAATAATCTAATCATAAAACTCAAAGAATGAATATGTTAATTAAAACAATATGGCATAAACTTGAAGCGGGTGCTTTTGAGGGCTTAAGCATACGTTTGAGATATAACTATTTCGGTTTTTTGTTTTCAGTACTTTGTAATTTATAGGAGACGGTTCTACCAAGAGGCCTGTCCAACCTAAGTATCTTTCAAAGTAAAGAGTGTTAGATAAATACTCACCGTTTTGTGCTCCTGCTTCAATAAAAACACCGTTTCGCTAAAAATAAAAATATTAGTACTATAAACGCGTTATTGTTACCTTGCGGAAAAGATATTACTCGATATTTTTAAAGTAATGCTTTACTTAAAAATACTAATTATATATAAATTTTATTTATATTTATTTCTCCTAGAAATAAAAATAAGTTTATACAAAAATAATATATTAAGATCTTATTAGAATATTTTAATTTATTTTTAACAATTGATTTTCAAAATAATCAAGCAAAAATTTATTTATGAAATATTTAAAAACGCTTTCAATTTAGAAATAAAATGCAACATAAACGATATCAATATGAAATATATTTTAAAGAAACAAATGGGAATATATTAAATATAACTTTAAAAAAAGAAGGTACATATCACCCCTAAAGAGGAGTGAATGCTTACGAAAGTAGAATCTTCGTTGGGGCCGCTGCAATTTGTTTCCTTTTTTTGCCTATGGTTTTAATAAGTTAAGGGCCTCAGTTCCGAACATGCCTAAGGTGTTGGTAACGATTGATATGAAGATGAACACTATGTTTGTGAAACCAGAATATTTGCTTTTTTAAATGGACGTCTACCTTTTCATTGCCAAAAAATGAAAGGTTAGACTTCTGAATAACCGACACAAGTTAATCCGAGGTCAGCGGGAGATCATTCTTCCAGGTGATAAGGGATATAACACCCATGTATATAGCGTTTTCATTTAAAAGGCCCACTTCGAGAGCGAATAGGATATTAACTTTTATGGCAGCTGGGGGAGTTTGCCTGCGGGAGAACTTGCAGGGCAAGGGAATAGGCGTTTGATTTGATGGACATGAAGAGCTATGAATATTATGAGTGTTCACTAGTCATGAGGAGGCCGCGATTGGAACGGAACCGAGTTGCTTACAACCTTCATAGAGTGAGTTTTACGTATAATATTATGTTATTAAAGTTTTCCTCGAAGGGCCTGTTCGAAATGAGGCATTCAACGGAATGGAAGATCAAAAGAGCATTCTAATATTTTTAAATGCTGGAGGCTGGATGGCAAAAGGTAGTCAAGCTATTGCTATCCCAAAAGGTAAGAACCTGGGATAGTTCAGGTTCTATAGAATTAGATATATTATTGATGATAACTTGAGCCACTAGAAGAGATGAAATAAAGGCGAATAGAAAGTTGTAGAGGGGATCGGATACCGATGCCATTTCATTTGCTAGGGGGGTGTGGCCTGAGTCAGGATGAATATGAAATTATCTTCAAAATATTTTCGAGGGGACCTTGATTTGGATTTCTCTCAGGCATAGAGGATTTTGGGAATATTAAAATAGTTTTTAATTAAAAAAAAAGAATTGTTGTTCAGGAAGATAATTGAATAATATGCTTAATTTAGCCAAATTAATGAGGGATTTTTTTAATATAGTTTTGACATATCTCATCCTTGTTGATAACTTGGTAGGTAGTGTCGAATGGATTGGATATAGGATTTAGGAAACATATTTCACACAATGATTGAGCGAAAGACCTATAACATGTGTGAGTTTGTCGATTATGGGTGAGATAGACAGGATTGTGGAAGGGTCGTCAGCATCAATGCCATCATCGAAATACCAGGAATTTAAAGTGAGGTTGGAGTTAGATTTAATTTTCTGAATTATTTTGTGGATATCTATGCAAAAGAGGGCAGGGCCTAGGGGGGTCGCCGTGTTGAATTCCCCCTGGTATATTAAAAATAGTTAAAAAATGATCATAATTTTTAAATAAACTTATTAGATCTTATAAGTATCTTCATACGAATCCCCATTAATTTATTTTTATCAGAATTTAATTTGAATTTTTTTTTTTACCTTCATGTGTTTTTAGATTAGAGTTGCCGGAAATTGAGGTTGATATATTTGAACTAGATAACAATCTACACCTAGAAAGTGTAGACTTACTACCCTTAATTTTATTTATTGGTGAAATGTTTCATAATAAGGCCAGGGCAGTGTTATATCATATTCACCTGAAGAAATAAGTACTTTTAATATATATATTCTTTATAAAATAAACTATAATATTAGAGAATAATTAACATACCTTGATCGATTCATAATTAGATTAACAATTTTGATTGCATAAAATTCAACAACCAATGTAATAAATAAAATAAAATGTAGAACTTTGGTGGTTATCTGAATTGAAAACTTGGCTTAGATTGTTTATAGAATTTGATATGTATTATTAAAAGTAATTCTTGAAATATATTTTATTTTATTCGTTATCAAATAACATTTTCTTTTCTATCAAATTCATATAATAAATATAATATTCAAAATAAACATTTTACAAGAAAAAAATAACAAATTAATACACAACATTTATCCCCAATCTAATTGGTTTCGTTCGTACGGATATCGATCTTGACTTGTACTTTCTAACTTTTGTGTAATATTTCTTTCAGCTTCTTGACTTGTAGCATTTTCCTCCTCCTTTAGGTTTATTTCATCGTTGGTTCTCTCTTCTACTTTGCACTCTATATATTTTCGGTTCAATCAGTATGAGGTATAATCGTTTTAAGCTCTATACCTCATATCGTAGTGATTCGATCGTTATTATTGTAAATGCATGACCACACTTATTTTAAATTTATCTCTAATTTTTGCGTGTAGTATTTTAACTTCTCCTTTTTGTTCCCCCATCCGATTATTTGGTCTAACAATCTTCAAGGTTTAATTTTTAGTAGTTTTTTGGCGGGAATTTGTTCATTTTCTGCTCCTGGTGTACTTCGGTAATTGTAGAGAAAAATAGCTAAACTGGTTTTCTAAATCCTCATCATTTCTTTTATATGGTCCAGTGACGAAGCGTCAAGTTCACTACTAGTGAAGCAATCAAAAAAAATTCTTATTTTTATTTTAGTCAAACTCAAACTATAAAAACATTAAGATTTATAAGTGTTATTCGTCTTTGTTTTTGAGTAAAATTATCAAGTGCTGCATTATAAAAGTTATCGCTAGCTTTTAAAATTTTTAATAATTTTTTTTCAATCGAAATCAAAGATTCGATAATCTATTTTGGCTCATCCTGTTTCTGCAATAAGAATTGATTCTTTCTAAAGATGAAAGATTCCGTTCTGACTTGCTGTTGTTGAAGCCAGAGTTAAGATGAATTTGCATAATTTAAAAAACTCTTCAAAACTTTTCATCAAATCGGTGGATATTAAAAATTCAAGTATTTCTTTAACATTCTTTTTCTTTCTAAATTTATTATCTCGAAACACTACCTTAAATTCGGTTTTAAGCTTGTGTAAGTCGAAAAATTGAGAATAAGTGTCGTATAAATTATCTAATAAATATTTTGGGAAATTTTGATTAAATATTTGGAATTTACTAATATCTAACAATTCGACGAATTTTTATATATTATTTTAATTATCAAATTTTTATAAAATTCTTTTGTATTGGGCAATCCACTTTTAAGACAATAAGATATATCGTTAATTTTAGTTTAAAGTATATCAAATAATAAATAAATCAGAATCTAGAAAAATTCCTTGAAAAAAATAATTTTAAAATTAGAAAATCTATATTTAAATGGCCACGATATGTTATTAGAACATCTTTATCCCAAACAATATCAGATTCTCCATCAATCATACTTTCAAAAAAAATAACTAGATTCTTCAAATAATTGAAAACTGTTTGAACCAGCCGACCATTGTATTCCCATCTCGTTGGGGCTACTCGTGGTAATCTTTTTTTGACATATTTATCAAATTTTGCTGTTCGCTTAGATGATGTACTAAAAAAGCTGGCTAAACCAGATAAAGTTGCAAAAAACCTTATATTCTTTAATTTTGCTGTAAGATTTTGATAATATAAGATTTAACTTATGGGCAAAGTAATGAATATAAAGTGCTGAAGGATTGGCGTCTCTTATTATCGCCTGTAGTCCATGTGAATCGCCTGACATAACAGCTGCGCCATCGTAACTTTGACCTATTTTTTTCATAATTATTTTATCATTCAAGAATTTAATGACAAATTTTGATAAAGAATTAGCATTTCGAATAGTAACATCAAAGAATTCAATAAATCTTTCATACAATGTTTCGTTATTTAAAACATATCGAAGAACTACAGCCAGTTGAGATTTATTATTGATATCTGTTGTTTCATCTAATATTATTGATATAAATTCCGTTTCTTCTAATTCATTTAATATTTTTTGGTGTAAGACATATGAAATGGAATTTATTAAATCATTTTAAATCGCTTGATAGTCCAATAAAAACTGCACTATTTTCTAAATGATGTTTCAATAGTCAATTTTCTTCCGCCAGCAAATAAATTAATTCAATATAATTTACTCTATTTACTGAATTAGAAGATTCATCATCACCACGGAATGCGAGATCCTGAATTCCAAGAAAACATATAGAGTTGATCAATATTTTCAATATTTCTCTATTTGATTTTGACTTTCGAATTATGCTGTTCGATTGATATCAATCATATTTTCAATGCGATTTTAGCCAAATGTTTTTAATTGCATCATCAACTGCAAATGAGCGGTTGATTCTTTATGCCGTGTAACTACCTTTGAAAAATTATTCATATCTAAAAATCCTTTATCATTCCAAACATATTTTTCATTTGGGAATAATAGGCACGACCAACAATATAGAAAATTCGAAAAATCACATCCAGTGAGCCATTCATATTTATCGATGAAAATTTACGAATGCAAGTTTTGACTTCTTTTTTTAAGTTTTGTAAAATTGGTTTTGGTCTTCCTTTTTCAATAATCAATTTTTTAGCATCAATTTCTTGTGCTAAATGATAATGTTGATAAATTTTCAATAATACAATTATAATTATTAAACATTAATTAAGGATTTTGAAAACGAAAAAATTTTTTATTTTAAAAAAGTAAGAAAAAAAATATTTCATAAAAAAATTTCTTTCTTTTTTATTTATTAAAAAAAATAAGCATTTTTTATTTTCTTCCCTAATGCTTATTTTTTAATGGTAAAATTACACAATACCATGGCATGATTTCCTCTTTATTTATTTAGAATCCCTCATGTTTATTTTTTTTTAACGTAGTAAAAATAATAGTATTTCTTAATGGTAAAAATAATATTAATCAAAAATTATATTAATTTTTTAACGAAGTCAGTTTAGTTTATTTAACATAGTACAAAGAATATATTAAGTTTATTTAAGAATTTTGTAAGAAAAATTTCAAGAGAAGCAATGCTTCCCTTGCTTCTATGGAAGCTTCGTCACTGTCATGGTCTATTTAAATGTTTGAACTACACGTTCAGCCATGTCGTTAGTCTAAGAATGGTATGGACATCCCTGCACTAATTGTATTCCGTTTTTTTTCAAATAATTGAATACTACTGAATTGTGGCCCGTTATCATAAATTATTATCTTAGGAAATTTGAATCTGGGAAAGATATTTCTTAATATTTTTATCGTGCTTTCGGTTGTAGTACTAGTCATGTAACTATTTATAGCCAACAACTGCTAGCATCTATCACTACCAACAATTATGATTTTGAAATGGTCCAGCATTATCAATATGTACTCGGTGCCATGCATTTGATGGTTTTGGCCAATTTTGAATTGATGTCTTTTGAGGCATATCGTGTTGTTCCTGGCATTCTCTACTTTTTCGACCCATGTTTCTATATCTTGGTTTATATTAGGCCACCACGCGTATTGTCATGCTCTCATCTTCATTTTTACCATTCCAATATGTCCTTGATGTATCATGTCTAACACGTTGTTTCGGAATTGTTGTGGTATTAACATTTTAGTTCTCCGCATAAACAACCTCTCTCTGTTGTAATTTCCTTTCTCCTTTTTCTATACTCCTTTAAACATGCATCAGAGTTTATTGGCCATCCGTATACTTTAGAAAGTATATCCTCTCGCATTGTTTCTCTTACAATTTCGCTTGCATTTAAAGGTGTTTCTCCCACTTGTATTTGATCTAGCGTTTCTTCTTTTGATATTGGAGTTCCCTTTATAGGTAATCTAGATAGCATGCAGCATTTGCTATTTGTCTACTACTTTTGACTTCTATTTCATATTGGTAACCTGCTAATAAAGCCCATCTTTGTTCTATGTTGTTGGTATGTCTTTTCTTGGATGAAATAAACTCATTAATGGCTTGTAGTCTGTTTGCAATGTGAACTTTTTTCCATATATAAATTCTTTGAATTTTGTAACCCCAAATATGATGGCGAGAGCTTCTCTTTCTATTTGGCTATAATTTTTCTCAGCTGCATTTAGTGTTCTTAAGGCGAATGCAATTGGTCTCTCCTTACCCCTCTCTATATGTCATATTACTGCCCAATTCCTATAGCTGACGCATCTATTACTAATATAATGGGTAATTTTGGATCATAATGTTGTAATATTGGAGTACTACATTTCTTGCTTTATTTTTTTATACGCGTCTTTGCATTCACGAGTCCATCTCCAAGCAACTGCTTTTTCTAATAATTTGTATAATGGTTTGGCTTTGGTTGTAAAATTTGAAATAAATTTTGAATAGTATGTTGCTGACCCTAGAAATGACTGTAATTCTTTCAAGTTTTTGGTTCTGGTGCTTTTTTACTGTTTCAATATTATTTTCGGTAGTGGTAATTCCGTTTTTTGAAATCTTGTGTCCTAAGTACTCGACATTTTGTTTGAAAAATTTACATTTTTCTATTTTTAGCTTGATTCCATTTTCATCTAGACATTTTAGTACCTTTTTTAAATTTGTTTTGTGCTTCTCTCTATTCCGGTTATTATAATTTCATCTAAATAACAACTCTTTCCTTTTAATAAATTTTCGATGGCTCATTGAAATATTGCTGGAGAAGATGATATACCAAAAGGTAGCCTTGTATATTTAAATAATCTTCTATGCGTATTGATTACAAGATATTTTTGATACTCTTACCCCACTTTAATTTGAAAATAGGCATCTAAGAGATCCTATATTGAAAATTCCTCTCCTCCTAAACTGGCTAATAAAACTTGGATTCTTGGTATTAGGTATGAATCAATATTAATATTTTGATTTATAGTTGTTTTAAAATCCTTACCTCACAAATTCTTAATGTTTTATCTTTCTCTTGAACAATTATTATGGCTTTAGCAATCTGTCTAAATCTTCTTCCAACTTTTTTTTAATGCGTATGGTATGGGACATGATTTACAGAAATTTGTTTTTTCGTTTTTCATATATATTTGTGCCTTAAAATATTTCAAACAGCCCAATTCTTTGGTAAATAATTGAGGAAGCTTTTAAGTTTTAGCATGCAATTTGTTAATCCGGGAAGAATAAGTTTATTTTTCCAATCTAGTTTATTATGCTTATCTTAGGTCCAGTATCTAATTCCATTCTGATATCGCTGTTGTTTATTTTGATATCCACCCAAAATTCTGGATTATATTCATTTGATTATTAATAAAATTCAATATTTCTTTTACAGACTCGAGCAATGTGCCCAATTTTGTTGCATTTATAACAAGTGGCATTCTTGAAAAGATTCCCTTCGCCACATGAGTGGCAGGGATTTGGCTCATATTATAATTATTATATGATTTTGATTGTCTATCATTATCATTAATAACTTTTTTAATTATATTTTTATTATCATGTTCCTCTCCTAACTGATTAATTTTAGTTTAATCATTTTGTATTAAATTTGTAGCTGTTTCTACTGCAGTAGCTATTTGAATAGCCTTATTTATGTCTATATCATCCTCGAATAATAATTTTTTGTAAAATTTTAGGATTTTTTATTCCGAATTTGAAACTCTTAATGCAGTATTTAAATATTTCCCAAATTCACAAGTCTTTGCTAATTTTCGAAGATTTTGAATAGTATTAATTTTTCCTCATTTTTTGATTATATTGATAAAAATTATATCTCTCTACTATATTAGGTTTGGGATGAAAAAATTTGATTAAAATATTATGTATTTCTAATACCTCTTTGTTACTCGGATTATCAGATGCACATAAATTTACCAGTATTTTGCAAGTATCGCATCCTATTATTGTTTTCTTGTGATGATCTCAAACTTGGTTGTGTTTTTAAATTCTTTAAATAAGTCTTAACAATATTTGTAACACAGGTTTTAATCCGCTAGCTTATTATTGACTATGCCATTCTTGAAATGCATTATTAGAAGTTATTCTTAAAATATATTTTTATTTTATTCGTTATCAAATCGCATTTTTTTTTCTGTGCAAATTCATATAATAAATATAATAATCGAAATAAACATTTTACAAAAAATAAAAAAATAAACAATTTTATCATCTGCTATTCAAATAAAGTAACCTATGACCGGGAAAATTTTTTTATTACATAACAAAATTTAAAAAATATATAAAATATTTTTTCCCATATTTTCTGAGAAAAATTTTTAAGTAGCGAGTAACGTTTTGCGTTACCGTTACTTAAAAAAGTTCGTTACATTTTGAAACAAGTAACGAATGGCGTTCCTTTTTATCAAAAAAAAGTAACTTACTTTCATCGGCTTTAACTTACAGTTACAGCACTAAAAAATATAATTTGTTTCGTTATAAAATATAAATATACATTTTATAATTCTTAATTATAGAGTATAAAATGGTTTTGTAAAATCGGTTAAACATATTTAAAAAAAGGAACAAAAAAGGGTAAATATACTTTTCCCTTTAGTAAACGCTCTACCTCCTTGTCCTGCCCTATTTGCGAATAATATCTAGTCGAATCATTACCTATCAAATTCAAATAGGTGGCCCCTGGACCTTTTCCCGCCCTTGTCCTGCTTTTGAGTGGCGGTAAATCTAAATAATTTTGTTTGATAAAAGAAACCAAGGTGGGTGAATGCATTGGAATTATGCCGTTTTTCAAGACGTCGTCTTTGATCATCCAACAGTCATCGGGTTTTTGTATAGCAGCAGTGGAATAAAATGGTGTTGTGTTATTGCTAATTGAGATATTGGCACTTTCGCAAATAATGTCGGGGTCACATCTGTCAATTTCCTCACATCCCTTAAATTGTCTATTAATTAAATTAGAATTGTGAAAATAAATTGGAGATGAATCATAAAAGGGATTAATAAATAATTCATTTTTTTTAAAAAAAATAATAGTGGCCGGGCACATAGCACAATATTTAATTAAATTGTTTCATTCTATCAAAGTGTGTGACAATAATTATGTGATTACAAAAATAACGTATTAGAGTATTTGACCGGTCAATTATACTTTTGACCAATTAACAGACTTTCCAATCTTAGTTTAAATGAATAAAACAATTTTAAAAAAATTTTTAAACAAATTAGAATATCTCATTACACGAAATATTTATTTAACTAATATATAAACCTAGCCTGATGTACTTATATATATTCTTAAAAATCAACTTTATATATTTATTTTTCACAAATTATTATTTTAAAATATAATATGCTTGTTTTTGAGGAGCTTTTAGTCCCTCTACCGTTTTTATAGAATTATCGTTTAAATAAGCCTTGGTCATTCAAAAAGTAAAAATGTAGTATAGAATGTTTTCTAATATAAACAAAAAATTAGAATATGATTAGCAAAGGCTGCTTTTGCAAGAAATTTAGCGTTGCCCATTTGTCCTTTTATTAATAAAGAGTTTTTGAAACGATTGACGAGGCTTATCTTAGATTTAGCTTTTATAAATATTTTGAATGATTAATCATATTTAATTCAAATAAATATAAATTTTTAAAAAAAATTTTTATGTAGCATTATTTTCCATAGAAATCAATTCACAATATTATTGACATTAATTACGATTAACGCAAAATGGGTTTCCTTTACAAAATGATGCAACTGTGCATTTGCAAAACTAAAAGTATCCGTCGTTGAAAAGAAATTGTTTCTGGTGAAATAAGTGCTAATATTTTAGACTATGGATTATAACTTTTCAAATATATTATTATTAGTCTCATGTCATTGTTAGGAATAGGGGCAATATCTTTCCACCAGAAAATAAATAATTAAAAACTTGTTTGAAATAAATAAGCTATTCACTTATTACATCCCTAATATCAAGGACAACTTATGAATAAAAAATTCAATGAAATTTGTTATATGAATCACCTGGAAACCCGGCCTGGAATGGGCCAAAATATGACATAATTTTAAAAATTCGAGCTTGGATTAAAAATTAAAAAAAAATTAAAAATATGTCAGACCGGGCCAGTTTAAAAAAATATTTGTTGATAGTATATATTTTATAATTAGATAACTTATTATTTTTTATTTCCATATATATTTTATAAATTTTTAATGGTGTACAAATAAGAATTTACCTCTTTTTTTTAATCATTTGAAAAATCATACAATTGAGCATTTACTATTCATTATCTGCTCATATTTTTTCAATTTCATTTTAAAACAATTTGCAAAATAATAAAGAAATTTCAAAAAATTCAGGCAGGGCGTAAAGAAATCATCCGAGCCGGGTCTGAAATTTTGACCTCTGCAGGTCTTAGGTAAAAACTGAGATTTTCCTAGGGTGGTGATAATCATGTCCTTTTAACTGATTTAAAAAATTTCCAATGTAAAAAAGATATCATCGATAAGAAAATATTGTGGAATAAGGGAGAAACTAAACATTAATCAGATGTCGACATCAGCTGGTGGAAGATACTGGCTTCCATTACCCTTTAAGGTAAGTGACAAATGTCACAGTAACCCTTCCAAGTTCAACTTATTGTTCCAAAAGATATTATTTCGCCCAGAATATAAACTGAAATGTTTAGACTTTTTTTTCCCTCTAATTGCTCAGAATTAAATTAACAAGTTAAATCTTTTTTACTGAATTTCACAGATATTTTTATTAAAGTCTAAGAAGATTTTGCAGTAAAAATTTTGATTTTCTCACGATTTTTTACATTAAATCGCTCAGAAATTTTTACTATTTTGAATGTTTTTTATTTTTAAATGCATTTAACTTAAGCATTTTTTTTCATTTACCTTACCTTGCATTATAATCATCCCTCTTGGTCCCCCGGTCTATGTCAATAGAAGGGGAGAGGGGTTAAAACCATTTTCCGCGCATGTAAATCAATTAAAAATATTTTTTAAATGCGATTAAAATTATTACATTGGCCTCGGTCTTTAGGTTATGTTATTTAAATGTTTTCAGAGACCAGCATAGCTAATAATTGCATGTCCGGGTCCGGGTTTTTAAAAACGGTGGGGATTTTTAAAAAAATTTATTTTGACCCCACCTAGGTTATGCCCTGCATATGAGTTTATAAAAAAAAATTTAAGGCCAGGGTTTTATATAATTTTTTTTTCTGCCCGGGTTTTAAAAAATATACCAATTGGGAATTTTACTGTGGTTTTTCAGGTAATATACAATCATTCAATATTTAATAACCTTCAAAATAATTTTCTTTATTCTAAAATGAAGATTATTTTTTATTTGATACCATATAAAAAGTAAACATTTGGTTTATTTTTGGCGAGATATACTTTATTATATAATGTTTTACGTTTAATTAACTAAAAATAAAAATTATTAATCTCTAAATAAATAACTAATTTTTTTTTACTTATATACAGTAGTATCCAAAAACAAATTAAAATAATGTGGCTAGTTATACTGTAAGTTATTTTCTAATAAATTATCAAATTTAATATCCTATATAATAAATTACCTGTAATATTAGTCGGATTTAGGTATTATATTATATTGTAAATATTTTAATAGTAACTATTCCTTTCTTTCAATTTTAATTATTGACTAATAATTATGATAATCAGTCTCTAAATTAGATATATCCAATGCCTGACTCGGTACCAGGAGCGGCCTATAGGCAGCGTAACATTTAAATTTGAGCCGGGCTAGGAAAAAAATTAACGGGCCGAGCGTGCAAAAAGTAGAGATGCCCGACGCGCTTATTAAATAGAAAAAAATTATTCAAAAGCCTCATTTTGTTTTGCTTATAATTTAAATGACTAAATGACCTGCTACTATCACTCATTTGTAAATACGATTTATTTTTCCATTTACTACATTTTGCGTTTATTATTATAATAAAAAAAAATCATGAAACCGAAATCCCCATCATTATAGGTTATATTTTTCCATGTTATATATTTCTGGGATGGCCGGGTACAAATTTTGCAGATCTGAAACGGACAAAAATTAAATTCCAACGGGCCGGGCTTAAATATTTTGACATTTGCAGACCTCTACTCTAATTAATAACTATTTTATTTGTCTAGTATGTAAAAATTTATAAGGATTAAATGACGCGGTTGGTTATATTGTAAGTTATTGTAAGTTATTTTATAATAATTTAATAATATTTAATAATCTATATGTAAAAAATTATCCTATATGGGAATAATGTTTATTTCAAAAATATTTATACATGGCTCGTATACCCGGCCGAGTTTTGTTGGTGGCATGCAGATCTCTGACTTTGACTATCACAAAATTTGATTATCAATTCAATTCAATTGGAGAACTATAAATTCTTTCTTTCTTTCTTTCTTTCTTTCTTTCTTTCTTTCTTTCTTTCTTTCTTTCTTTCTTTCTTTCTTTCTTTCTTTCTTTCTTTCTTTCTTTCTTTCTTTCTTTCTTTCTTTCTTTCTTTCTTTCTTTCTTTCTTTCTTTCTTTCTTTCTTTCTTTCTTTCTTTCTTTCTTTCTTTCTTTCTTTCTTTCTTTCTTTCTTTCTTTCTTTCTTTCTTTCTTTCTTTCTTTCTTTCTTTCTTTCTTTCTTTCTTTCTTTCTTTCTTTCTTTCTTTCTTTCTTTCTTTCTTTCTTTCTTTCTTTCTTTCTTTCTTTCTTTCTTTCTTTCTTTCTTTCTTTCTTTCTTTCTTTCTTTCTTTCTTTCTTTCCTTCTTTCTTTCTTTCTTTCTTTCTTTCAAATTTTATTAAATAATATATCGAACTCAATATTCTTAATATTTTTAAGACACTGATTGAATAGTTATTTTAGAAAATTATAACAAAGAATCCTAAAATTTGACAAAAAATAATCCAAGACTCAACTTACCTCTTAAAATGAGATGGGTTCCAATTATATTAGACTTTTCTTTCTCAGATGCCATTTATTCGTTTAGATACCAAGATTTAAAAATGTTAATCGCCAAATTATTATTTGTTTGAAAATTAAAAAAAAATTCGTGAAACATGCCCAGGAAACCACTTATAAAGATATTCTGCCTGGACACGGCTCTAAATTAAAAATAAGATTCTATTTCTTCAATTCATAATTTTTTAACAACTTTGGCATATGAATTTATTTTATAACAAGAATTTTCGCATATTCAAAAGATTGAAAAAAGTCTGAGAGAAAACTAAGAACTAGAGTTTTATATTACCTTATATCGTTGGCCGGAATTGGAATTTCCATCAAAGGAGCCATAATATAGTTTCTGGAAGCTGAACACGTTTCTTCGACAGGGCAATCCCGTGACAAATTCAAGATTATGAGAGTCAAAAATAAAAAGGTTACCCATATGGTTAAAATATATTTGAATGAACACACTGCATTATTTTTGAAATAATGATGATTGTATAACATAATAATTTTATTTTAAAGATAAATTTATTATCAATGAAATGATATCATTTTTAAAAAATTTGAATAAGCCTGCTAATTTACTTTTTTTAAATTTAAATGAATCAATTTTTATCAAAAAATGAATTTAAAACAAAAATGTACAATAAAAAAAAGATATATTACGATCATAAAAATACTTGAAGAAAAATATAAAAATAATTATTTTTAATGATATCTCTTTCTACCTGTAATTTGAAAGTTTCTTCATCCCTTTTATAAATATATAAATTAAATGTCTACTTTTTAAATTCCCATTAACATATCACCTTAGCTTAAATTATCATTAGAAAGTTATTACAATTTTAACTTTTTTTATCAATTAAAAGATGATGAGTCAAATACAGTTTCAGATCAGGATTTAGTTTAAAAAACAAGTTTTTTAAGAATTAATAAAATTACGAGAACGAAAATCTTAGTTTACATTTGGACCAAAACTGCTTGAAACACAAATTATTGGGCCCTTAATATATGCATTTTTGCAGCCTCAAAATCTTACTTCTTTAAAACTTAACCAGCGAACCGGAAGGGAATTTATATAAGTGCTATATAAAAAGTAGGAATACCGACTTTAAGCAAAATTTGTAAGGGGATTAATTTTTAGTGCTTATTTCGATAGCAACCAGAATTTGAATGTTGTACGGTTCATTTTGCTTTTCTTTCTTTTTTTGAATTTAAAAGACTAAAATGTTAAATGCCTGACTTTTATCTCCATTTTTTGAGAATTTTAGTCATAAATATTTTGGTAGAAAAAAAGTGTTTTTTAAAATAAAGTTTTTATAATATAAATTTTTTCCTGGAGATACTTAAAGGGCTTAAACTTTTCAATCCAATAATGTGCTTCCTCCTTATAAAAAATCCGTTAAGAATAAGAACATCACATTTTTATAGCAACCTTGTGTCAGTGATTTTGGTCAGGAATTTACCATTTACTGCATGATTAGAAACATTTCTTAAACATCTAAACGTGTTTAGATTATACATTTTATCATAATTCATAATAAAAATAATTTGACTATAAAACAAAACAAAAAATACGGCATGTTTGAAGAACATAATTTTACTATTTTTTTTATCAGAATTAAAATAGTTTTTTTATATATTATATAAATAATAAATCTTTCAAAAGAAAACAGCATTTAGTGTATGCGTTTGACCTTTGATATATATAAAAGATGATGGATTATTTAATGTAATTTCAGTATCATAATATTTTCTAAATTGCTTTCTAAAAATTGACCTCTTCTTTAAATAATAATTACTTGAAACAAAATTGAAAAAAATATAAGAATCGTTTAAATTAGTGTACTAAAAGGTGGATGAGTTGAATAAACTTAATTTTTTTAAAAATGATTTTAAAAAAGAAAAATCAAATTTAAATGGGGAGGGAATTTAGAGGCCCTTCCCCTTGAAGCTTTTGTTTGTAAAAATTTTTTTGTATATAAATTTCCCATTTAAAAAAAAGTAATATGCTTAATATTCCTTAATCCAGCCTACATTCATTGCGAAACGGGGGGCTAAGCCCTCGGCTAATTTTTTTTGATATTTAGTCCCCTTTCCAAAATTTGTGGAGGGACTGAGCAGCTTTGATTTATATTTTTAAAGTTGCTAATTATTAATCCCTTTTATTTTATTATTGTTGCAAAAATTAAAATTTTTATATAAAAAATAGAATTTTCCTTCTTTTTCATATTTTATTTATAGAAACAAAAGCTAGAAAAACAAAAAGTGGCTCGGATGATACATCCTTTATTATGGATGACGGTCTCCCACTGACCTGGGACTACATTTGTATCTATTTTGCAGCAAAAAACCTATCATTTTCTGCTATCGAAAAAGCAGAAGAAATACAAATATCTGGCCTCAAATCACAGTCTTCATACCAATAGTTACCAACACCTTAGGCATGTTCGGAAATGAGGTCCTTAATTTAACAAAACCGTTGGCAAAAAGGAGACAGATTTTATGAGACCCCAACGAAAGATTCTATTTTGTCTTCGAGAGAAATCTGCCGATCCAATTTCCTAAACATTAACTCCTCTCTAGGGAGTTGCTGTTTTTTTATAAAATTTATGTTTTTTCATATATATTTTAATATATTTTAATATTTTTTAATATATTTTAATATTTTTTAATATATTCTTATTTGTTTTTTTTAAAGACATTTTATTTTGATATCGTTTTATATTGTATTTTATTTTTAAATCGAACCGTTTTTTTAATAAAATACTATTTAAAATATATTTTAAAATTTTTTTTATTCAAATTAGACCGTAATTTATGGTATCTCGACGATGGCTCTTTTGACGGTTCTTTATCCAATGTTATGTCAGCCATAGAGTACGTTGAAATGGAAGTAAAATTGGTCTTTCCCTAAATAAGAAAAAGTGTAAAATTTCCTCCCTCAACAATAAGGATTTTATCCTTCCCTTAGATTTTACAATCATTCCGCACGAGGAACTCTGTCTTTTAGGTTCCCCTATCGGTTCTTCAACTTCCTTTTGTCAAAAAACTTTTGACGATTTGATCCAGTCCCTTTCCAATTCACTCAAGAATCTTCCTCATCTCCCCAAGCATCAGTTCTTCTTTCTCACCAAAAAATGTCTTTTTCTACCGAAATTCTTACATTTATTTAAATCTTCCCCCGTTTTCCAGTACAATACTCACCTTAAGGTCTTCGAATTAAAATTTAAACATTTTATCGAATCCCTTTTAGTCTTAAATTTTTCCGATTTCAATTGGTCCCTTGCTTCTATGCCCGCTTACCGGGGTGGACTGGGATTTTCACCCCCCTTCCTAATGGCAATTGCGTGCTTTCTTTCATCTCGAATATCCTTTACCGATTCTATTTCCTCGCTTATCGAGTTGGATGATCCCCTTTTCAGCTAAACAAGAGTGGCTTACTCTAGTCACCCAAGGCTCCGAGCAGCCAGTTTCCAGTCATCTAAAGAGCTTCCTGGTCCCTATGCTTCAATGCGCGTTTGAAAAACTTTGTATGCATCCCGATCTAACTAACCTTCAACTGCTCAGAAACGCAAAAAAAAACTCTAACGGCCATGAATGGCTAGACGCGATTCCGAGTAGTAAAAAGGAAACGTTACTCACAGACGATGAGTTTCAAACTGCCATTGGCCATAGGCTTGGTTGCCCTATCCCTTCTGTGGACACCTGTGCTGCCTGTTACAAACAGGTTGATCCTTTCTCTATAAATTGTTTCTCGTGCCTCAAAGTCAGTGGCCGTTTCCTGAGGCACGACAACCTTAATAGGTTAATCGGCAAAGCCTTGATTTCGGCAGGTTTCCCCAATAGTTTGGAGCCATTAGGTCCCCTAAATGCGGACGGTAAGCGCCCCGACGGCATGTCTTCAACATCTTGGCACGGCGGCAAAAGACTTGTCTGGGACGTCTTTTGTGTTACCTCCTTTCCGGCTAACGGAAATACCGACCCCTTGGAACAAGAAACCAATAAGTGTAATAAATATAGATTCCTCCCTAATTCTTTTATATTTATTCCCCTAATTTTTAGCGTCCTTGGAAACCCCGGTCCCCAATCCCTAAAGTTCTTAAATCAATTGGGTAGAAGAATTTTGTTAAGGACAGGGGCCAAAAACGAGTCCCTATCTCTTAAACAAAAAATCCAATTTGAAATCCTAAAGGGGAACTACAAATGTTTCTTCAAAACACTCCCATTTCCCTCCTAGTTCATCAAATATAGTTATTTATTATATATTAAAAACTGTTTTGTTAATTTTATTTATATTTTGCATTGCAACTATATTTAGAATTTAACCACAAAAAAATATTTTTCGTTATAATTAAATAAATTATGTTTAAATATTTAATATATATATTTCGATAATGTATATATGAAAATATTAAATTTAATTAATAAGAAATGATATAATTTAATATTTTTTATTTTATAATATATTATGAAAATGAATATTTATTTATATATTTTATAAATTTATTTTTGCTTATTTCAATTCCATATCCAACAATAAACATTTTATTATCAAATATAGAAATTTTGATTTCTCTTATTTCAACAATTTTTTTTATGGATATTAGAAAAAAACTTAAGGTTAATTAAAGGTAAAAAAAAATATTTTTTGAAAAAATTATAATATTCTATATCAAATTAAAGGCTTATAAAAATGGTACTATAGCTGGAGAACAAAATGCAATAACAATCGACAGTGATGACAGGTTTTTAAATTTTTGCATTATTTTAATGTCATTAAGTCCACGGGGCTTCGGGACTCTCAACCCACTGAAATATTATTTTACATCAAATCTTTGAAAAAATTTATTACCCCCATATAAATTTTCATAAATTCCCGCCTCTTATTCTTTATTTAAATCAGAGACCTGCAGGCCCGGCCCTAAGCCCGGCCCGGTTTTTAAATATACCCGGGCCGGGCCTAAAAAATTTTTTTTTAAATATATCCGGGCCGGGCCTAAGATTGTTAAACCCGGGCCGGGCCTTAATATTTTTTATATAAATTTTTACATTATGAGTTAATGGTTATAAGATTATATCTAATATATATAATCTCCATAATCACATGATGATCGTTTTCGTATCTCCTTAATGTATTTAAAATTTAATAGTGTAATGTTAATTTTTTTTTAAAATTTTTTTTTTGCCATCCCCGGGATTCGAACTAGCGACTTCACGATTGGAAGGCAAACGTTCTTTTAACACAGCCCCCCTTAACTTTTTATTTTACGATAATTCTTCATATATATTTAATTTAAATTAACAATCATTTTATGCACCAATTTCAACATGATGTTGAAGGGTAATTATTTAGTTTTATACTTTATTAATCAATTTTATATTGTGAGCATGTATTATAAATATCAAATTAAAAATGTGATGGAAATCATATTGAATAAAATTTAAAATAGAGGTGCTAAGATTTTTGAATTTTAAATATG